GGTATCCTCTCCACAGTCATGACTTCAGTGTTCATGTTGAAGCCACAATGGCAGGGTATAGAAACTCTGTGGAGCTTTTGGAGAAAAGTGGGACGAGATGGGAACAGTCATGGAGAAGCAACAGAGCTTCACAAAAGGAGAGAGGGTGGAGAGATCACTCTAGGGCCTTTCCTGGACTCTTGGGCTCTCCTGTGTGGCCTTTGTCCCTCACAGCTGCAATCCCACAGAAAACACTAATAATCCCTTCACCCATCTTACTGTAAGTGAGATGCACCTGTGGTAACTATAATTCAGAAAAATGAACGCGAGAAGAAATGCCCAAGTTCTGTAGAAAATGTCTTTCAGCTTGTAAATACAGAAAAGTTTTGTTCTGACATTTCATAAGTGAGTGAGACTGACAGGAATTTCAGCTAATATTCTAAATAAGACATCGAAAGTAATTTTAGTGTATACAAATAAATTATGATTATTATAGTAAAAGACCATTTCTGTGAAAAAGACATGGTGGAACAACATCCATTCCTCTTGACAACAGTGTCAGAACTGTAGATGTGAGGGACCCATGACATCCCCTAATGCTTTCTGTGAAGGTAACAGAAAGTTATGAAGGAGTATTTATGATGTGTGAAGATGTGTTGCAGCCAATGGCCCTGACCCAAGGCACAGCGCCTGGTGTTCAGCATACCCGCCTCTTATTACTATTATTTTTAGCTATGGAAAACTCACATCTATATAACTTTTCTTACCTGTAAAATGAGAACAATATTTCCTGTGTTATCCAGCTATACTATATGCTTAGCAAACGGTAGCTATTATTATAACCTGGGTGTTCAAATAGTGACAGCTCCCAAATATTCAACAATAGATCCATTTAATCTAAAACCAGTGTATGAGAGTATTTGAAGCAGGTGCCATCCTGGGCGACATTTTTATCAATTACCTTTTAATTGAAAGTAAACTTTTTTCATACGATATATGCTGATCATTTTCCCTTCCCTCTTTTCCTCCAGATCCTTCCTACCTCCTCAATTTTCCAAATCTTTATCAATGATTTTTTGAAGAAGTTGTATGCCCATAGGTAATGGATAGTGAATAATAGTCTAAAGAGTAATGAATGTGGATTTAGGGGGATCATGATGTGAAGAAATCTCTGGACAAATTTAAACATAATTTACTAGGAGTAATGCCCTTTGGGAAGTTTTTAAGCTGTATAAGCTCAGGTGAATAAGACTTATATGCCACAAAGCTTAGCGGCTATAACAGTTCACCTAAGAAGCAGCTGGGAGATCACAGGTCTTGATTTAACTTGGGTGGTAATAAACTTCATGTAACTTCTAGCTATAAGACCAGGAACATTTTAACCAAATAACATACTCTCAGGGAAGGCATCTCTGCCCAGGTTAATGGAAGGTTCTGTCTAGTTCTGGGGCCACGTTTAGGACACTCTGGCATACAGAAGAACATGTGGAGGGGAACTCCCATGAAAGCTTGCCACTTGAGAACCAGTTTAGGAAGTATAGGAGAGGATTAGAAAAAAGAGGCCCTGGTCTCCTATACTTGTTTGAGGCAAAGAACCCAGTCAAACCTCACTCTCTGCACATTTATGTCTCTCCATGGCCATCTGCCTCCTGCTAACCCACAACATGGCCCTGTTCAACCATACTAATCTTCCAATGATGAACTGTCTTACCCTCACCTCCCTTGACCACTCTGACTACAATCTCTTACACCTTCCATAATCCTCTCTTCGTTTCCCTGAGCCAACCCCCTTTCTCTGTCCTCTCCTCACCATTGAATCCCCCCCCACTCCCCTCACTTCCCTCCCCCCACTGACCTAACACCTCTAACACCTGCCAGGGGTGTTTACACAAAAGTGTGCTGATTTCTCCTAAATCTACCCTTTCTCCCAGTATCCTCAGTCACCTATTAGAAATGTCTTCTAAATGGAGACGCAGGGAAAACATGAAATCACATTATGAAACATAGACTGAATCCCTGGACTGACTTCACGTAGCTGTGTGGGCAATGTCCAGCTTCCCTAAACAAATGCCCTGTGCTCCCACTGAGATCCCATTTCTAAGCCTGATGGGTCTTGTTTGGGCCAGAGGATAAAGTAATAAAGGGTGGGTTCATTTCCCAGTGAGGTTTGGACTGGACCTAATCCAGTCTTTTTATAGTTTCAGTTTTATTACTTCAAAATAACTAATTTCTGGGCCCAGAAATCGTCACTCATTGGGGAACTGGCTAAGTCACTTGAAGGAAAACAAAACAAAACAAACCTTTAACTAGAAGTTATTAAAATAATGGGAGCTAGAGATTTTGTGCTTGTGGCTTTTTTCTCCTTAAATGGTTAGTGGGTTGTTTTTTTTTTAATTTTCCATCATAGACCAGCCTCTGCAGCTATGGCTCTGGTCTTGCCCCTTGGCTTATAGCAATGGAAAAACAATCTCTTCCCTCTGGCAACAATGTCATTCTTTGGAAGGCTTTTCTGAACTTCTGTTTCTCATTCTGTATTTCTGAGCTTTCACCATCCACATTGCACAAGAGAAATGCATGCCTGCAACATGAGAGGCGAGCCATCACAAGGGACCTCTAACGAGCTGTTCTGTAGCTGTTGGAACAGGCATTCTTATTCGAGTTTTCAAATACCTCTAAAAATTACCTGGTGAGATGCTTTGTTACCGTTGCACCCCCAGGCAAGTCCAAAGAAGTGGGGTACAGTTCCTGGAAATGTTCATTTCCTTTCCTTCCTACTGTGTCTCCCATCTAAAGACCAGTCCATTCACTTCCTCTTCTCTTTAGCTCTCTGCACTGGACTGCCTCAGATTCCAGCTGTGGTGCCCATTGAGCATGGTGCTGGTTGCACACCCAGCATTTGACATGTTGCATGTTGTGGTTTGTGCTCAAAGCTGTAGGGCTATACTGACGGTATCGGAATTTACAAAAACATTGGTGTGGGGTTCAGTTCTTCCTCATTCATTAAGAGCTGTCATCAGACTACAGCTGAATGTGGCTGTGACAATTTAATCTCAGTTTCTCAAATTTGTACAAAGTCTCAATGTAAAGGAAGGACTTGGCCAAAGTATCAGACAGCTGGCCCGTCAAGAAGTCATGAGTTCAGAATGGGATGAGAGTCCTAACTGGTAAAACTTGCTAGTTAAACCATGAGTGAAATCTCCTATGTGGAGAAAAGTATATTTTCAGTTATGTAAATGAAACAAGGTGGTTCCTGATCTCCTGGAGGCATCTGACTTGAGGGGAAGTTAAGCGGACCTTAAAACCATTGACAAGCCAGCCATGATGCACACCTATAATCAATCCCAACATATCGGTGGTAGAGGCAGCAGAAATAGGCTCTCAAGGCCAACCTCGGCTATCAAGCAAGTTTGAGGCTAACCTGACCTACAACGGGAGACCCTATCTCTAAAGCCTGAAAGCCAAACAACCACAAATGCCATTCAACTTCATGCTTGCAAATTTGCTGTGCAGTATATCTTATTTTCTTAGGGTAACTAGTGTGTGATTACTACTTCTACATACTTTTTTTCTACATATAAAATGAGGGATGCTTTATGTTTGCTTGATTGCTCTTTTTTTTTATTGTGACAGAATCTTATTATTATTTCTCAGGTTGGCTTCAGGCTGACAATCCTCCTGCCCCAGCCTCCCAAGTGCTGAGATTACAAGTATGCATCACCACACTTGGATAAAGTTTTTGTTAGATTTTGTTGTTGTTAATCCAAAAGAACTTTCCCCCAAACAAAGGAATCTCTTTATATTCTTGACTTCAAGCAAAAGTCTCTCAAAGATGCTCTCTCTTCTTTGTTTTTAAAGCTAACGTAGTACTTGGAAAAGGCATGGTGATCTCAAACAACAGTAGAATCACATTAGTCTTTTAGTAAAATTGGTGAAAGAGAGTTAGGGAGAGCGTTTGCAAGGATTGTTCCCCTGGGAATATGACCTCAGCTTACAAGTGCTAGCTCTGTAAGTCTTTGCAGGGAAGACTTTGAAACGTCACAAATTGTTTATTTTCAGCAGGCATTGAACCTGGGACTTGGCACATTTCAGGCAAGCACTCTGCCACCAGCTAGATCCTCACTAATAATCTTTAAAAATCTAAGTCATATACTTGGTGGAAACCTTGGAAAGCATGGCCTATATATATATAGTCAGAGTGGATCCCTTACACTTCAGAAAAGATATCCAGAGAAAACAGTGGAGGCGGACACAGCAGTGTTCTATGTTAACAGCAAAGAGGGAAATAAAGCTAATATGTCAGTTGACTCAACAGTGATGTTATTAACTATGGAAAATCGATGTCAAATTTATGCCAATTGTTTAGATGAAGTTGTTGTACAATGCATGAGAGTATAAACCAAGATCTAAGATAATACTCACGAGTGAACATTAATACTAAAATAAACCAAATAAGTGTCTTCCTAATTTTAAGATCTATAATCCTAAAAGTTGCACATACAAGTCATCAGAACAACTTTCTTAAATGAAGTTTCCCATGATAAAAATAGATTACCTCATATTCTACATTGCCTCATATTCTATATTTAATACTAAAGCAACTTCTATTGCATGGGATTGCTTAAGAAACTTGAATTCATGTCAGAGATAGTTGGTTTTTTTTATAACAAATAAAATGTCTATTTTGCAAACAGAAAATTGACTTAAATGAACTTGAATTTTAAAATATAAAAATAATACTCAGTATCAGGAAAATTAGGTATTAAACATATTCAAACATTTCTCTTATGTATAGAGATCAAACATAAAAGTCACAAACAAGATAAGAACTTTAAGTTAAGGTTAAAATGGTGCAATGAGAGCTATGAAACACACGCATTCACATAACATTGATAGTTGATATGTTACAGACACACATGGTGTGATTAGGGGTTTGATTCTGAAGAGGATGGAGAACTTCTAGCTTAGGTTTTTTTTCAGTTGATATGAACATGGAATCATTTATTGAGCTTCAGAACACTTACCTCTAAATAATCTGTGAAGCAGTTTACATCATTTTCCACTTCAAATTCAAGAAATGTGTAGTTCACAGTGTTGCCTTTTGTTGCTTGGATGGTCCAGTTACAACGTTGATCTTTATCATAGGGCTTTGGATAATTTATGCTCTCCAAGATGCCATGGGTTTTATTCACTATTATTACATTGTCACATACTGGAGGAAAAAATAAAACAGCCATGAGTGTTAAGAAGAGCTCTAACACGTATCATAATGTCTCTGAGATACATATGAAGTTCCTATTTAACAAAACACCAAGATTTTTCCACTTTTCCCTCTAGATTAATAAATATATATGTATACACGGCATGGCATTTTTATGCTGAAGGAGACTCCATTTAGAATAATGTGAAATAATATTTAGGTGAATTGAAGCATCAAAATGTCATGAAAATGGGACAGCTACGTTAAAATAGACATCCAGTTCCTATCTATCTATTGTTGGACAAATAACTTGGATCTACTCTGATCTCTCTGCTGTATTTAGAAACATGTGGTGAGCATTCTATGTTTTCTAGCTTCAACATTTAGAAGAAATGAACATTCTGGTCTTTGAACTCAACAGTTAGGAATATATGGCCTTTGTGAATGGTACATGAGTAACACCTAGAACATCAGCTATCTGTATGAGCCTCAGCAAAGACTCTGTTGTCCCTCAAGTTATTTATTCATCATGAAATTCTGAGTGAACAGAGGGAGCACAAAATAGGAAAGAAGAAATCAAACGCCTCGATTATGAGCGATTTTTGAAATATCACAGGTAGCCTTTTCTTAAGATTTTTATCAAAACCACACAAGTGACTCGAGCTGTGTCTAATCCTGGCATTAAGCACCAAATCTAACCAAATGAAATGACCTGAGCAAAGCAAATGCATCACTCTTCTCATTGTTTATATTTTTAAAAATTATTTTCTAATTCTTTATTTATGATGTGCAATGAAAAGAAGATGAGAAAACAAACACTGAAAGAGCTGTCTCTGCAATGTGGCTCCTAGACATTTTCTACTCCACACTGAATGTGGTGACACCACTTATCGAGATTTGGGGATGTAGCTTATGGCCCTTCGACTTCTTCCTTTGCTGCAGCAGGCACAATGACCAGCAGTATTCTGAAAATCTTCAGGTTACATTTTTGTTAACAGAGGATTTCTCAGTAATATTTTTTGCTTTAGATATGTGTGGGAGAGTACACCCATAGGCGACGGGAACCACAGGCCTGGTGGCCAGGTCAAAACAACAGTCTGCGTTCCACACCTACACAGGTGGCTCTCACTTCTCACCAATCACACTGTCTGCAAACTCTCCAATTTCAAACGGCAAGTGGGTTTGTGTGTGTGTGTGTGTGTGTGTGTGTGTGTGTGTGTGTGTGTGTGTGGTGGGGGAGGGGTGTGGGCAGGAGCTCATGTAGCACAGGCGAGCATTGAACTAGCTACATAGTTAAGAATGACCTTGAACTTCTGACCCTCCTGCCTCCACTTCTCAAATACTGGAATCCTACACACATGCCACCACACTTAGTTTTGTGATGAGTTGGAGGTGGAATTTAGAGCTTCACACTAGGCAAGCACTCTGTCGGCTGATCCACATTCCCAGCCTCTGCTTCTATCTGTAAGGACTGATATCGTGTGTATAAAAACTATTAGAAGGAAAGAAAAAAAAAGAGAGAGTGGCTTTAATAACCTGATAATAACCAAGAGAAAGCGAGGCAAAGCAGTGACAAAATTAAAGGAACTACCACATGCGCAGTCAAACAGATGGTCACCCCATGGAGCATTAAGGAGCTGTTTGCATATAAAATAATGATTGATTTCTGAAGAACAAAGCTATACAGAAAAAACTCAGTATGCCAGGGGAAGGAGGTGGACTAGAAAGGGAATGGGAAGATATGGTCCACAAGAAAGAATGTATCTTCCCCATGCATGCTTCTCTAGTTAATAAAATTAAGGCAGAGGACAGAACCTAGACTGAGAGGTTAGTTTGTTTGCTGGACCAATGTCTCATTAAAGGATTGTGAAATGTGGCATGAGTGAAAACCAGGAGTCATTAGAGCATTCCACCACCTGGAGCTGAACTTCAGCCATCTCTAAGTCTCTTGATTTAGCAGATGCTTTAGTGATATGAGACTGGGTTTAATATGTATGCGTTTTTCCTTCCAATGACTCCAGAGTTTTCACATAAGAACTCAAGACTAATTTCAAAGGCTCAAACCACTGGTTAACATTATCTGGGTTGTTTCACCGAGTCTGGCAGTCTGCTGGGGGTTCTCCGCTGCTGGAATTTGTACTTACTCTGCCGGTATTTTACTTCAAAGCCACGTCCTTGCTGACCTTCATCTGTCCTCAGTTTCAACAATATGCTGTCTCTACTGGTCCGGATGGGAGCTGGTGTTGTGTCTCCACAGAGTTTATTTATCAGATGGGAGCTGGTACTTGGGCCATCATACACCTTTAATAAGACATTTTGCACATCAGACGGTCAAGGCTATGAATGTAAAGGACTTTTCAGTAAAGAAATGGGGACAAAATATATGTATTCTTTAATAAAAACAATAGTTCTAAATTATATCAAAGTGTCTCTAAACTTGGGCAATAAACTGAAATGTATGACAGTAAGTAAGTGAACTGAGATTGAAATCAGAACATGCAAAATGAAAGTTCAATACAAACTTTGAGACCATAACTAATATGTGTTGTTTTTTTATTCCAAAATGCGTAATTTGACAAACTTCAGCCCATTTTATTTATAGGATTCTAGAGGGGTGAATTGCAGGAACTATAAAAAGACATAGCTAGATGAGTTGACTATCTCCTCTAATTCACCTCAATAGTTCAGTCAATTGTAAGCTTTCAAAACATACATAATAAAGTCATGTAGATTATGCTTAGGACAAGGTCCATAACTACTCAGGATATTTTTACCAAATCTTTATAGCTTATAGTAAAATACCTCAAATAATTAATGTAGTAAGTCATTCAGTACACATTCTATGTAGAAGATTTTCATTTTACCACATTTCTTTAAGGTTTAACTTTGTTTAAATTTTTTATGTGGATGTTCCTCTTCTTATATCTTGCTTCTTTTTGAATCTTAAAAATATTTTTTAAATGTATCTTGTGCATTGAGTAAGAAAGGAGCATCAAACAGCACAGAGTCTCATTGTACATACCGCCAAGTAATCCAGAGAGCAGCTGGGGTGATGCTCCAGGTGGAAGTCTTGGAATTCGAGCTGGAAAGCGCTGCCATGGCTGGCTTCCAGCCGCCAGTAGCACTCAGAGCTATGGTAGTAGGGCATCGGGTAGTTGGGGGATGTGATCAACCCCGTGGGGGTGGTGAGATTGCCTCCACAGCCTATGGGGGGAAACAGTGAATGAAACATGGCCTTTTTTCCTGCAAGATTAAGATTAATCATCCTGCTGCTACTCTGTTCTTCGTATGCTGACCTCTCCATTGCTGGGGAAGGAGCCCGGGCCTCACACAAACTAAGCAAGAGTTCCAACACTGAGACTCACACCTCAAGTCTTTAGCTTTCAGACACAAGAACTCATTATGCAGTCCAGGCTTGCCTCAAACTTGGGGTCCTCCTGCCTCTGCCTCCCTGGGGCTGGGATTGTAGAGTTCACCACCACATCCAACCTGTGTTCCTTTTTAACCCATGCTCCTGCTCCTCACAGAACAGGAGACCATCTAAAGTTCTGCTTCACACTGGCGGACTTTCCTTTTGCCAGTCAAAGTGAGTAACTTGATGAAATTTCCTTGGGAATTAGAGCTTTCCTCTTCCTTCAAAATATATGCTGCTGTTAATGTCCAAAGACATTTGTAATGTTGGAATTTATTATAAAGAATGATAAAAGTTAACTAGGAAAATTGACAAGGGGTGACAGAGCCTGACAATGAAAAAAAAAGAATCAGCTTGACTTCTCCAGTAAAAAGTCAAGTCTTTGCTACTTACCTGTTGACACTACGTCCCAGGAAACTGAGAAACCCCTCCTTGTATACACTCTATCACTCTTAAACCTCAGCCATAGCTTGTTACTCTGAGAGATGATTCTAGGAGGCACAACTGAGCCGCAATAACATCCAAGGAGTGGTGAAGTTTCGTAGCCTCCATCTCTGTGACAGGTACAGAAACGAATGGATTAAGTTACAGTTGGGCTGCAGCATACAATAAACACACAACATATTCAAAGTATGGGGATGTAGATGAGCAGCTGATCTCCTCAGCTAGCATCTCCTAAACACTACTTTAAAAAAATCATTTCAAGTTCTCAAGTCTTAGTTCTTCACTGACTAGAATTTGAATGACTTAATAAAGAGTATCTATTATTTATGGCTTGCGTGGCATCTTTATATCAGCTGCAGAGAGAATGTATTTGAAATTCACCTTCTCAAAGCCTTTGTCAAATAGATCAGAGAATACAGAATATAGAATTAGATCAGAGAATACAGAATATAGAACTAGTTTTCTACAGTATAAACCAGTATTTCTAATTTTTAGAGAGAAATATTACATATTTCTTACTGATTTTTAAATCTTTAAGATGTAGTATAATATATTTGTTATATTTGGAACAATTGTAGAAATAATTATTTTCCTAAGAAGTTTGGGGGGTTTTAAATCTATAGGTATTTTTTTTTTAAAAAAGATGATTCATTGAATGTTAAAGCCAAGTGCTTAGTTGCTATAAATTAAGAAAATTAAGCTGAGCATGAAAGTTCCCACCTATAATCACAGCACTCAGTAGGCTGAATCAGGAGAATTTCTGTGAGTTTGAGGGCAGCCTAGACTATCTAGTGAATTCTGAACCACCTCAGGCTATAAAGTAAGACTCTTAAACTACCCCCTCCCCTCAAATAAAATTATGTTAGTTTAGTTTGATATGGTTCAATTATAATTTGTTGATTTGGTATCTTACTTTATAGCAAAGAATAAAATTTATTATAAAGTGTTGAAAGATCCCAAGTTCAAAATAACAAGTCAAATATTTTATATAGTTGACTGCCAAAATAATCAGCCTAATATTACTTGATGTAATGATATAAGAATATATATAGATAGGTATATACTAATATACCATTGCCAGTGATATAATTTTTTTTTAAATTACATTTATTTAAAGTGCAAACAGTAAAAGAAAATGTCAAGCACTGAAATCCACAATTCTAGACTTTTATTATTTAAAAACAAGGTAAGGTTGCTATTATACCAATGATTTTAGTGATGTTATTAGAGTAAATGGACGGCAAAGACCCAAAACCTTAGACTGATTTTACATAAAGAATGAAGGTACTTGACTATGGTGGTAGGTGTTGATTATCAACTTGACACAACCCAGAATCACTTGGGATAGGAATCTTAATGAGACTACTGGGTTGGTCTGTGGCCATGTCTTTGGGGTGTTGTCTTAATTAGCCAACATGGGAAGAATGAGCCCACTGTAGGGGACATCATTCCCTAGGCAGGGGTTCCTGAGTCATATGAGATAGAGAGATAGAGCTGAGCTCAAGTAATGAAGTAAGCTAGCAAGAAGTGTGTATGCATTCATTTCTTTTTGCTCTTGACTGTGGGTATGATGTGGCTAGCTGAGTTCCTGCCATCTTGCTCGCATGCTATGACAGACTGGAGCCTGAAATTGTGTGCTACGATAAAGCCTTTCTCACCTAAGTTTCTTTTGATCAAGGTATTTTATCACAGCAACGGAAATGAAACTAAATGTCAACAATAGTGAGCATCACATTTTGGAATAGCAGTACATCTGTTTCCTTTGCCTAAATAAAATCTGAAATTTATTATAAAATATTTCTAATATGAGAATTTGAAATAACTATCAGGGGCCGAGAAGATGGCTCAGTAGTTAAGATTACTTACTATGCTTACAGAGGACCAGAGTTCAATTCCTAGTATCCACAATGGGTAGCTCACAACCACCTGCAACTCCAGAGGATCCAACATCCTCCTCTGCCCTTCACAGGCAATGCACTTACATACACACAACCACACCCCACGCATGCATAAAAACATAATTTAAATCAAGAAAGTGAAGTCTCAAATAGCCGCCAAATCTTATATAATTTCTCCTTTTCTTCTACATTTAATTTAAACTGATAAATTTTATATGTCGTAATAAAGAACTTAAAAGATAACTTTACAAGACTCTCCATGTTTCCTTTAATCTTTTCTGAAAAGATTATTGATGAAAATAAAGGTTATAATGAAATAAAAGCCATACCTGATTTCCAGAAAATCGAAACACTGTTGCCCCGAGCCCTCCTCCAGTTCAAAGTTTATAAAATCCAATTCAATCTGTTCATTGAATCCCGCTGTGATCCTGTAAATGCAATCCAAGTTATTGGGGTAATTTCTGGGGTAGTTTGGGGAGGTGATTCCTCCATAGTTATCTGTATGGTCTTCTAAGCATACTGTGAAAAGAAACAGAGAGAGAAATGGGAAACATTATACATTTGCATATGTCCAGTTATGTGCAATGCTTTAATTTGAGCCCCTGTACTTGAACTTCAGTAGCATTTTTTATTGTTCAAAGATTTATTTCATTTTTGAAACAATGTCTTTAAAATTTCAGGTGCAACCAAATCCTATATCTTAACAATGTGGCAGACATAGTCACATATTTTGACAGAATAACAGTTTTATCTTAGAAACGCTACAATTTTTCTAATTCATATAAGTTACCATAAACATTAAAATTGGGTTAAACTATGCAGATATCAGGGGGGTTAGAAGTAATTCAGTTCTGTACTTTTCTTCCTAACTTCCCTTTATAAATGTATGTATTTATGAGAAATGACCAGGAAGGAGTCTTCACCTTGGAGACGGTATGGGAGACCAGAGCTGGGTTTGGTAATGCATATCTAAAGTCAAAGGGACTTTCCATCAAAGTCTGTCTCGAGTACAGACAGGCCATGGAAACAAGCAAGCCACCGATCTCCTGATCTCAGTGCCCTCATTTCTATGATGGAGATGGTTACTAACTTTGGGTATTGTGTTAAGAGAATGAGATGATGCAGCTAAAGTATCTACCTTACCATAAACATGTGGCAATAATCATCATTATACTTCAAAATAGAAAGAGCCTAAGAAAAGTGTAATTATGAAGAGTATGTTTAACTATTACCATGAAATGATTAGCAGCCCACCTGGAATGCTGCATCCTAATTAAATAGCAATGACTCTCCAGTTTGTTTGAACTTTGCCTGTTCAGTCTCTTCAGACTATGTTCAATAAACAGCCCATCACTCCCTTATGCCCTTACAATCCAAGATGTTTTATAAAGAAAGTCTAGCTTAACTGTGCTATTCATCTAGCTTCAAGTTTCATCCAGTAATGACCTAAATCTAGGTCCTTGGAGTAGACAGAATCCATGACGAAAGGCTGTAAGAAGAATGAGCTATTATATTTTATTGCAAATGAAATAAATGCTGAGGCTGTGTAGTTATATTTCCCTAATTGTTGCCATATATTCATCCAGGAGGGGGTGGGGGGAACATCATTGGCATTGGGAACACAAAGACACATATAAAATGTTATAGGCTCTACTATTTATGTGTGTCCTGTGAAGTAACAAACATTGGTTAAATATTTGAACTTACTCTAAAAACTAAGGCTTTAGTTTATTGAGAAGGCTCACAGTGACAGTTCACTCAGAAAGGAAGGCAAGAAAGGAGGGAGTGAATGAAGGTAAGAGGGAGGGAGAAAAGTTGTCCAGGATGAGAGAGGACAGTATAAGGTATGGGAAGAGACTTATCCTAAGTGTTTCATACCCAGTTATGAAAATTATAGATAAAAATCATCAGACTAATGGGCTGTAAACGGAATTTAGGACACAGTGTTGCTGAAGTGACAAAACTAACAAACTCATTAGTCCACACACAGTTTAGTGTCAGCCAGTTATTCAAATGTTTAAAGCAAATTGTCTCTCCAATCAGAAAACAAATTAGTTAATATTCACCCAAAGAAACTAAAGCAAAAAAAAAGTAAACAGGACTTGAGGGGTACCTGCTGTGAGGACTACAGTAGTGAGTCTGTCCAGGTGGGCACCCCCCCATCCCCAGCTGCATGTGTGTCCTTCCCTCAGACCCACTTGCACTCTGGATCGGAGGAAACCCTTATGCAATAGAAGACAGAAGACCGCCACTCTACAGTCAAAGAGAAGACCAGCTTCATGCCCCACCTACCAGAACTTTTGAACAAGCTCTCAAAAGAAACAAATTAAACAAGTAATGCACTAAAAGAAGTAACATAGATGAGAACTGAAATCAAGTAAAGTGGAGTAGAAATAGAGAAGGAGTAAAAGAGGAAGAGTCACTACAGAGTCTCCAGCCAGCCAAAGAGCAGACTCACGAAAACAGTGCAAATAAATTTGATAAATTTGTTCACAGCCGCAAACTGCCATAGCTAACTCAAAAAAAAAAAAATATTAAGATCTTCCATGGCCTCGATCCACCAAAGAAATTCAATCTGTCATTAAACACCCTTCTACAAAGAAAACAGTGTACTCAAACAGCCCCTGGTGATAGTCAAGCAAGTTAAGGAAATATTATACTACTCAGGCTTAGGACACCCTAATTGTCGTGCTAGAAACCTCATCCAATGACTGAGGGAACCGGATGCAGAGATCCACCGCCAGGCCCCAGGTGGAGCTCCAGGAGTCCAATTGGCGAGAAAGAGGAGGGTTTGTATGAGCGAGAATTGTTGAGAACAAGATTGGAAAAAGCACAGGGACAAATAGCCAAACGAATGGAAACACATGAACTATGAACCAATGGCTGAGGAGCCCACAACTGGATCAGGCCCTCTGGATAAATGAGACAGTTGATTAGCTTGATTTGTTTGGGAGGCATCCAGGCAGTGGTACCGGGACCTGTCCTCAGTGCATGAGCTGGCTGTTTGGGACCTGGGGCTTATACAGGGACACTTGGCTCAGCCTGGGAGGAGGGGACTGGACCTGTCTGGACTGAATCTACCAGGTTGAACTCAATCCCCAGGGGAGTCTTTGCCCTGGAGGAGATGGCAATGGGGGGTGGGCTGGGGGGGGGGGGGGACAAGAGAATCCGTGGCAGATATGTAAAATTAAATTATAAAATAAAATAAAAAAAAACAAGGATGGACTCTATGATATTGTAATAGATTAGAAAAGAAACAAAGATATTACACTGTTTGGCTGATATATAAGAAGGCCATATATACAGAAATAATATAACTGTGGATATGAGGATCTGGGGAGAAGTTGGAAGATGTTGTAAAGGTATACAATGTAGGAAGCCTGTAAGATATGGAAATCTATCAGTTAATAAGATTGTATATGGTGATGATTTCTAACAAATGAGTAAATTTAATTGATCTTACAATTACTCATATAAAGACACACACACACACACACACACACACACAAACACACACACACACACACATCCCACCCATTGAATTATCTCTCCAGCCCTATAATTCCTAGTTTTTCTACAGAGAGAATGTCAACCTAGACTAGTGAGAGATTTAAAAATATGACAATTAAGCACTATTTTCATTCTAAGGACCAACACACTGGTGAATGTGCATGCACACACACACACACACACACACACACACACACACACACACACACACACACACAAACCCAGAAGAGAATTGGTGGGCTATTGGCACACACAAACATAAGAAAATATTTAAGATTTACTAGAGGAAAATATTTTAGAGATTAATAAATTTGAAAAAAAAACTTTTCCAAAAAATATTTGAGCATGCAATATCAGAAATTTCTGATTGAGGTATACAAGCAAGGGAAGAAGGCAGGCCTGACCACTGCCCAAGGTGTTTCAAGTCAAGCTGGCACTAACAGCCGGCTGACTGTCCTGGGCCTTACTTTCAATCTACAGTAAATAGGACCTTCAAACATGAGCATCATCATTCATCATGCCATTTTGTAATAGCTTTTTTTTAAATGAACTATAAAGGCAAATTCAATCAGATCTATTTGAATTGCTCAGTAAAAGTTTACTCTAGACCTTAATCAGAATTTCTAATTGAACTCAGATACCTGAGTTTATAACAAGACAATCTCCTCTTTCTGAAGAATTTTTAAAATGACCATTAGAGTCTGAGAATGCTGTTCTTACCACATTTAAATTTAAAAAATAGAAAACAGATTGCTCTCTGCCCATTTCTTTGAAATAAATTCCCTGTGGCCCTCTTGGCTATCCCTTCTTAACTTCACGCATTCTCTTTCTAGGCTCATTCCAAGATGCCCATTGAAAACTAGCACTAAATACTCACTGGGGTGTAAGAGGGAATGAAAAGGATGGGAGATCCCAGTGGATTCACCTTTTTATACTTATATTTGTTCATAATATTGTGCTTTGGACCAGGTTTAGCTACTTCTCTGGATAATTGTGAAGCTCTTTTCTTTGCAAAAAGTAAGAAACATTCATCACAGTTCTACTGTAGCCCTGTGACAATAGAAATGGACTACACAGTGAAACCTGGTTGTTTAGTCTGGCTCTTAAACAAGCCAGCTATTTATTCTTAGATGACAGAGTCAACATTCTAGACTGAGATCTCCCTCATTAAAAGATTAATTAGGGTAGACTGTTCTTTGTACTTTATTGACACATCATAAAAAGAAAATTCGATCATGCCTACTGAGATTGTCAGATTTTGTGAAGAGACGCCTAACTTTGTATGATAACTCTGATACTTTCCACTCTTTTGTTTTTATTGAACTCCACAGTTTTAATAAATGAATCAGGAATTAGTTGGAAAAACAATGGAGTAATTGTGAAATAGATATTATTTAATCTTAAAATTTAAGTTCATTTCTGCCCTTGTTTAGACTTGTAAAGTTCTTTCTTATTAGTTCTATATTTAATCAGTGGATAAGTAATAGATGTTAATAGGATATGATTATAACTTAAATGGTAAAGTATATCAACTATATTATCTCAATATCCAAATATTTTCTACTTCATGCTAGTAAATGCTGAATGTTATAATTGGTGGTAAGGAGTTGTTAGGAGTTTCTACCCAACATCGTTGCTTTTGTTATGTCTTTCGTTTTGATCTCCCCAGGCACATTTGAATGAGAACTGCAGCTGCATGCTTACAGAGGGAGTCAGAGTATGAACAAGAATGATCTCCTTCCTCCCAAACAAATATTTAAGGGCTGACATCATAGCCTTATGGCAGAAACTACAGATGGAAGTGTAATTGGATTCAAATCAGGAAATTTTGACTCTATCAAATGAAGACAGGGCAGATTCAGAGGGAAACGTTCAAGGACTGTGCTAAGAAACTAGACATCAACAGTTCAAACCATCATCATCACCCTAAAACTAATGTCTGCCAGAGGAATAAAATAGGTTACAGGCCAGTGACTGGTGTCCTCTGGTGCTTTTATCTGACATGATTTCAGTCTACAGAAAATACTCAGAAAAGGGTGCTACCTGAAAAAGAGAGTCCTCACCTCTGTCCTTCCAAGCAGCAGCTCATTTCATCCAGGCTCCTGGGACACTAGTCAGCTGCCTGGCTCCCACCCACTTAACCTCCATTCCAATCTCCTGAGCCAGCTGTGCCCTGAGACATACCACAGGGCCAGCCTCAGCAACTCATGCAATCCAGCCACCCATATGACTTTCTGGGTCCCTTCATCCGATTGCTATGTCAAATGCTGTGACTGTGTTAACCAGTCCTCTGAGCTCATCCAGCGAAAGGCAGACACACAAGGAACAGTCAAGGGGCAGAGAGGATGTGCTCCCTTGTCTGTGATTTCAGCTCTGTCTGGACCAAGGGGGTGGCGCTAAGGTAATGACTAACACACAGGGAAGCAGGGTGGACAGACTGCAGTTGCTCCTCCAGTGTCTCTTGCTTTAGCATTTGGGTTTTCTCATCTCTCATTTCTTCTCTTTCCTTTGTTCTTCCGGGTTAGAGGGTTTGGGAGGGATTGAACCCAGCCATGCTTTCTGAGCAAATGCTATAGTTGAGCATGCTGTACTCTATTCTCTATATCAGTTTTCCTTCCTGTCTAGGTTACCTGTTGATTTGTTGAGTTTTACCTGCATCGTATCTTTCTGAACAATTTTATTAAGTTGTGAATTTATTATCCCTCTCCCCAGGTTATGTTAATGGCTCTTGGCTGTCACTTCCCTTCATACCGCCTTCCAAGCTGGTGTAGTGTTAACACAATAATTTCAATCATTACAGAACTATGTTTCATTTTGTATACTATTGCAAAGATCTCCATGATATCTGCAGCCAGCACTGCCTGAATTACATGTTATTTAAGATACAACTAGCTTATTCATGCAGCAAATTAAAATTATGTTCATAGAGGATCAGAGCCAGAAAACATTTCAAAGATCATCAAATCTAATCTTTTAATTACACAGATGAGAAAATTGTACCCCACGAAGTTCAACTGACTTACTCCAAATCTAATATTCAGTGTGGTTTAGGGCCAAACATATGAGAGAGAAGAAACTACAGTGTGGAAAATTGTGCACACACTGTAATTTCCTGAGAAATCCACTTTGGTCTTTGGCTGTTAACCACCTGAATAAGGCCCAGTGAAAATGTCAATTACACAACAAAACACACTACTCTCGAAATCCTTGAGCTGTCACTCCCCATGTGCTTGGGCTAGATAGTGAGCTATCTGCCCCCGTGAGTTCCACCAGCGAGGAACATACACAGGTCCCCTTGCACTCTGAATTTCTAAAGTCATGCTTCCAAAACACAGAAGTTGAACTACTTTTGCCTGGATCAAAGTACAGTGACCAAACTCCCTGGAAGAGAAGAGAAAAGCTGACTAGGGATGCTGAGTGGGAGAACTTCTCCTTTATTTATTATGGGGCTAAGGGTTATAGAAAATGGCACCTCAAAGATGACTGGACACAGACTATCAGAACGATAAGTCCAGGCCCAGAAAAATTCCCCAAGCTGTGGAATGCTTGGCAAGTAGAGGTACCATGTGCCTGCTGTGGATATGCTCTGGATGCTATTTTTCTCTATCAAATATTTTTCTAAGTATGCTCTAAAAATTAAGGTCCAGCAGGCAGCAGTGGCATACATCTTTAATCCCAGCACTCGGGAGGCGAGCCAGGTGGATCTTTGTGAGTTTGAGGCCAGCCTGGTCTAGATGCAGGACAGGCACCAAAACTACACAGAAAAACCCTGTCTCGAAAAACAAAAACAACAACAACAACAACAACAAAATTAGGCTCAGAAACCCTAAAAAGGAATACAGCTCATGTAGCAGCATTACCCTATTTTTTTTTTTTTTTTTTTTTTTTTTTGGTTTTTCGAGACAGGGTCTCTCTGTGTAGCTTTGTGCCTTTCCTGGAACTCACTTGGTAGTCCAGGCTGGCCTCGAACTCACAGAGATCCGCCTGGCTCTGCCTCCCGAGTGCTGGGATTAAAGGCGTGCGCCACCACCGCCCGGCTACCCTATTTTTAATAAGGTGGGAATTGTCTTTATACTTTATTCCAGGTAAGTATTTGTGTGTTTTAGACATTAAATCCCTTTTGCAATAGAGAAAATGTTACCTGATGATGCATTCATTGCTTCATACTGTATCGAAAAGCCTTCGTGGGCAAGAGCAGAGTCAGACACAAACATGATCTTTATTGAGTGGGAACTGCTAGTAAGAGAAGGTGGGATGGATTTTCCACAATATCTGTTCCAAAGAAAGAAAGAAGAGATACACAGATTTTTAAACGTTTAGTAAATTTGAACTAATATTCCAAAATTTAGGACATGTGAAGATGAGAACGGGTTGTTATCTATTTTCTATCACCCTTGAAACCAAATATATTTCGGTAACAGCATAAACACGCTTGTTCATGATTCCCTAACTGAAATAGTTGTGTGTTCAGCTCAGTGCCTTGACACAAATGGGAGGTTAAACAGGGGCAGCATTAGGCCGCTGTTAGCACACTGAGGAAGTCATTCATGGAACTGTAATAAAGGGAATCAATGTACTCTACACTCATCCAGCACAAGCCCTAGCCACTGTCACTCAGGGGCATCATGACTTTGGACACATAGCTCAATTGTGCTACCCCACTTTTTCTGTCGACTTCACACACTTCTTAACATCTTCCTCAGTTAATATATTGCACATAAGCATCAAAAACAGTGTCTGGCTAGTGGTCTGTGGTGTAAGCTGTCTACTGTCTTTAAACAGCTAGCTTATGGAGAGGGAAAAGTGTCATTAGTAAACCATGTGATTGTTCCTTCAGAACAGAGAAAGTTTGCTCAGAAAGTCTATTCGAGTAATACCCAAAACACAACTACAGCAATGATGTTATGCCATATTTTATCTTGAGAAACACATGTAAGAAGAAAAGGCTGGAAAAATAGAAATCTCAAGCCAATGCATGCTTGGAACCAAAGAAAAAAAGTAATATGGAACAAAAATAAGCTAAAATATTGAGTGTGAGAAATATGAGAATTAAAGAAGTTTGATGTAGAGTAGCATTTTATTATCAACAGAGAATTACCATCTTAATAAGACTGAAGGTAGATACATTAATAAATACATGCGCACACATGGCCATGTATCCTAAATTGGAACATGATCCTTAAAGTTTATTCCCCTTAGGAAAAACTGCATTTTTTTGTCATGGTTAAAAGTACCCAGATACTACTTTTAAAAAAAGAAGAAAAAAAATTTAAAAGAGGAAAGACTGAGGTAAGAAGCTAAAGAAGGTGAGAGGCAGTAAACACAGAAGGAATAAATTTAGAGACTAACTTAAAAAGGAAAATGTTTACAAAGTTAATAGATAAAAAGAAAAGAAGATGTAATAAGACATTTAAAAAGAAGTAATCGAAGGAGGTTGGAGAGATGGCTCCGCAGTTATGTGTACTGACCGCCCTTCTGGAGGATATGGGTTCAATTACTAGCATCTACATAGAGGTTAGTAACTAACTGTAACTCCAGTTCCAGGGGATCCAATTCTGGCCTCTGTGGGCACCATCCATGTGATACAGAGATGTACATACAGCCAATGAACTGATACACAATAAATACATAAATAGATAGATATTTAAAAAGCAACCAGAACTCTGCTTTCAACACAAACATAATAATAGAGGCTGGTTTTAACTTTGCACTAAAACATCTGAAACCCTAGGGGAAATGTATAAGTGGTTCTCAACACACCAAATATCAAATAAGAAAGGGAACCCCTCAAAAATGGGAAATAAATGAATTAAACGGGAAACTGGAAAGGATCAACTTCAGTTCAAGCAACTTAATAATATTACAGGACAAAATCCAAAAATATTTTTACAAGAATGTATAATGACTGGTGCTCCAAACATAGAATTAAAAGTTCTTAACAGTCTATAAAATATCAAGTACAAAAAGAAAATGGAAAGTGTAACTCATAATGAGAGAGAATAATCAACTAAAACATAGAAAGTAATTACATAATCACTGAATGAGTAAAGACACTAAAATAAATAACTGTATCACATAGATTTCAAAGTATGGAAAAAACAATACAGAGATGTACAGACTCTAGATAGTCGTGTGGTACTAAATGCTGGGGAAACCCAAATATGCATATGCAGAAAAAATAAATAAAAATAAAATAAACTCAAAGTGTGTTAAAGAGTTAAATGTGAGAAGTGACTAGATGAGAGCCACAGGAAAAAACACCTCATGATATGGGTTTGGACAAGGATTTCTATAGATATGACATAGAAATAAGTCATGAATCTATGCAAAGGGGAGTATTACTTATTCATTAACAAGGGAATGAAAAATCAAGACCACAATGATGTATTATCACTGTCTTAGTTACTGTTCAATTGCTGTGAAGAGACATCATGACCAGGGCAACTCTTATAAAAGAAAGCATTTAACTGGGGTCTTGCTCACAGCTGCAGAGTTATTGCATTCTCATCATGGCAGGAATAGTGACCATGGCACTAGAATAGTAGCTTAGAGCTTTACACCCTGATCCACAGACAGAAGGCAGAGAGAAACACTGGGGCTGGAGTGAGATTTTGAAACCTCAAAGCCCATTCCCAGTGGCACCTCTCCTCCAACAAGGCCACACCCACTTCAACAAGGCCACACCTCCTAGTCCTTCCCAAACAGCTCCACTAACTGGGGACCAAGCATTGAAACATAGGGGCCTATGGAGCCATTCTCATTCAGACTCCACCACAGTCTCATCCCGTTATGATTGCTGTTATAAAAAAAGAGATTTTTTTGTTATTGTTGGGAATGTAGAGAAAAAAAACCTTATGCATTGTTAATGAGTATGTGAATGAGCCATTGTGTAAAGTTTTGCAAAAGTTCTTCAGAAATTAAAAATGTAACTATCTTATGGTCAAGTGATCTTACTACTAAGGCTATATCTGAAGGGAATTAAATCAGCATTCTGAAGAAATAGCTGCACTCTTGGGTTCATTACTGCATAATGCACAATAGCAAAGATACAGAAACAGCCTGTGCCCATCAACAGATGAATGAATAAAGGAAATGTGGTATTGATATATATATATATATATATATGTATATATATATATAATAGAATACTACTATATAAGAAATGCAATCTTGCCATTCAGAACAAAGTAGGTAAATTTGGAGGACATTATATTAAGTTAAATAAGCCAGGCATAGAAATAGCAGTACCCCATGATATCACTGATATATGGATTCTTAAAAAGTAGATAAAGTAATGGGGCTTACCAGATCCCAGGGGTAATTGGGGGATAGGAGTAAGGAAGAAAAGATGTTGGTAAAATCAGGTAGTAAGGAGAGCACATTCCAAGATATCTATTACATAGCAAGGTGACTATAGTTGATGACTTATCATATCTTCAAAAATATGTACCAGGTGGACATTTTGTGTTATTACCAGTAGAATGATGAATATTCTAAATAATATATTTGTCAGTAAGTTAGATCTTGTGATTCCATGCACTTTATTTCAAAATATAATCATATGAAAGGTCAAAATACATTGCCAATTTATAAAATAAAACTGATATATATGTATATATATATATATATATATATATATATATATATATATATATATATAATGATGTAAGTTCAGTACTGGCTCACAAAAAAAACTATATGCTGTGCTTGAAAGTTCAGCACAAACAATAAAACAGTCTTACCTCCCAAGAGATATCTGATAAACAACGTCATAAATTTCCAGGTAGTCATTTGTGCAGTTGTAATGAAAATCCAGGTAAAATGAATCGAACGCCAAACGAATCACATGGCCTTGCTGGACTACTATATGCCAGGTACAATTTACACCACTTGGGTAGATATTTGGATAACCGGGACTTTTAATGTCTCCATTTGATGCTGTGAGAACTTCTCCACATTCTGTTAAAATAATAATAATCACAACAGTTAATGAATAAGATACATGGGTCCCAAATAAAATGTGCCTATCATAATCGATTAAAAGCACAGAAGGAAACTGTTGCTTCTTATCTGTCATTGATGATAACTGATTCTTCACTTTTATTAATAGATATATGATAACTATTGATAAGTATTTGTTGAAAGTATAGTCTTTGTTTTTAAGTGTACTTTATAATTTTTCACAGAATAATTGATTTTTTTCATAATTCACTTATTGTAATGAACTCGTGTTTTCAAAGGTGGGGATTGAACCCAGAGCCTTACACACATAAACAAACATCCCTAGTTTAACTGTCCATGTATTCTGAAAGGAGCATAAAAGTGGGAGAGAAAGACATGTTCTTACCTAAATCATCAGTACTGAACCTAGCCGTGAAGCCACGATTTTCCATAGAAGAACTTTTCACAAATGTGACATAAAGAACATTATACACGGATGGTACAGATGATGGTATGTTTGTGCCACAAAACTTCTCATTTCCAGGAGATCCCAAGACAGAGCTGGGACCAATCTAAGGTAAAATAGATACATCCAAATTAATTTTTATTAAATATCCATTTTGGAAAACTGTTGCCCTTGGTGGTGAAGCTGTTGGCAATCAATAACTCTGTGTGTGTGTGGTGGGGGGGTTGCAGAATCAGTCTCTTGTGGACTGTGAGTAAAACAAGTTTTATTTCTTGCTTTCCATTCAGGGTGCATTTTATTCTTACATCATTGCTCTAGTGAGAGTTTTCAGAACAATGCTGAGCAGAAGTGAGGAGATGGCATGCCTGTCTCTCAACCAACCACCGAGGCAAAGCATTTAGCATTTCCGTCACTGTACATGATGGTATCTATGTGGTTTTGGTACCTTATATCAAATTAAGAAAATTCTTTCCACAGTTTTTAAAAACTGTTTTTAGTATAAGAAGCAGACAGATTCTGTCAAGGGCTTTTTGTTCATTCTATTGAATGAATATATTGTCTTTTACTTTTTCAATGCTATTATATTTTGTACTATAATGCCCACTGACTTTTAAGACATAATAATAATCTACACATACTAGTGAAAATCTCCCCCCATCATGGTATATAATCATATACATACTGGATTCTATTAAGTAGTCTTCTGCTAGAAAACTTCATATCTGTACTTATAAGATATTGGTCTGGACAAGCAATCATTTTTTTTTTCATATAAACAGCATATAGTGCCTTTAGGGTAATTCAATGGTATTTCACTCTTACCTCAATGTAATCAGTATCACAGGGGGCAGTACTTCCAATCTGAAAGTCAGTGAAGTTGAGAACAACAATTTGTCTGAGGGGTTGGGAGATGGTCCACCTACAGGTTCTTTGTCCAGGATAGGCATTAGGATAAAAAGGTGAGTGAACGACTCCTTCTCCTGTTAATTCACCCCCGCAAGCTATAAACAGAAAAATGATAACCATATTTGCTCAGAAATAAAAAAAAATTCCTGACCTCAATTCCATTACAAATCTAACTCCGCCCAAAGAAACAGCAGAATGTGACACTTCTTTCGGAATATTTTCTGTGCCATTCAAGAACATATAATATCTAAAATAAATCAAAATGTTTGAACAGTAATTTGACATTAAAAAACAAATAGGAAAGGACCATTAGGGGGCTAGAGAGACAGCTGAGCAGCTAAAAGCACTTGCTGCTCTTCCAGAGGATCTGGGTTTGATTCCCAGCACCCATGTGTCAGCTTACAACACTTTCAACTCCAGTCCCAGGGAATCTGACACCTCACCTGGCCTCTGAGGGCATCAGACACACATGCTGTGCCCAGACATTCATGTTGACAAAAGGCCCATTCACATAAAATAAAATAATTTAAAAACAGATTGGCATGAAAACATGGCTCAGTCAATAAAGCGTATGCTTGAGTTCTGATCTCCAGCACCGTGAAGCTGAGTACAGTATGTGGTGGGGGTTGGGGAGAGCACAGAAATAGGTGTCTCCCTAGAGCTTACTGGCCAGCCGATCCAGCTGAATTGCAGAGTTCTATGTTCAATGAGGGGCCCTATCTGAATAAGGTGGAAAAGAATTGAGGAAAAGATCAATGCCCTGGCCTCTACCAGCACACACCACACACACACACACACACACACACACACACACACACACACACACACACACACGAGCGCGCGTGCACATGCATACCACATGCACACATGCACACACAAGTAAGCAGAAGTTTCCTTACCAACTTGATAGTCAGCTCTGAAACTAGCCTTCTGGACTAAAGCGTCTATTCTCAGTCTGATCCAGACTCTGTTAGAAATCGATCTAATAGGTAGCAGGGTTTCATTGCCACAGATCTTTCGAAGTAAGTTGTTATGGTCTCCAACCTAAGCAGAAAAGTAAAGAAGGATTTGTAATGCTAGTCAGGACAGTCACTTCAGTAGTCAGGGTAGTATTTGGAGACTAGTCAATGGCACATTTGAAATAAATAAAAGTTTAATGAGTTAGTGCCTCTATTACATTTAGAAGGAGTAAGAAGGTCAATTTTAACACCAACTAGTAGTACTAAATATTGATAAAGTCTTTAATCAATACAATCCATAACTACATAATTCTTAAAACATGCTAATAATTTCCACGGTATCAAAGAGGAAATAAATCGATAACTGAAGATAGTTTCCCCAACAAAAGTCAAGAATACATCATAACAAAAGATGAAAGTTCAACTAAACCCACAATTCAAGGTATAAACTGTGTTTATTACCAAAAACATAAAAAAATAGGCAGGCAGGAGGAAGGGAGAGGGAAGAGACATACTCAGAAAGAGAAACACACACACACACACACACACACACACACACACACACACACACACACACAGAGAGAGAGAGAGAGAGAGAGAGAGAGAGAGAGAGAGAGAGAGCACACCTACAGAATCAATGCTAAACACAGAATAAAATGACTAAAAGAAAGAGTAGTAAGAGTAAATCCTGATAATTAAAATACAAAGGGAAGCAGATTCATAAATACACCAAAGAACAGCTTTTTAAAGGAGGGTTGTGAATGGGGACACCAAAGGCAAATTTTAGACAAATCTAATAAGAAAATAAGAACTATGTCTAATTATAATTAGAAACAAAAATTATAAACATTACAAACACTGCGTCTAAGAAACATTCAATCAGTTAAATACAATTCTGTGTACAGGTCTTTGCTAAAGTATTTGAATGTTCAAGATAGATTATTTTCATAAAATTATGTAAATTACTAAAAGGATCTGAAGAAGAGGAAAATAGGAATCCTGTACAATGGACAGGTGGAGCATCATTACACAGTTTCTTCACCCTGCTTTCCTCGAGAAGGAAGCACTGTGAGAGGATGATATGCATTTGCTAAGTCTTTTTGCACCTTTAAGGAACAGATAATTTCCACATATAACTTGTTCAAAGGCCCCCAGGTGCAGCACAGCTCTCTATTACCAAATTCCAACATAAACAGTAAAAAATAAAAACTGTGAATCAATTTCACTTACTAATATAGATACAGAATCCTAAACAAAGTTCTAAGAAAATAAATTTACAGACCATTGGCTCAGTGGGTAAAGGCACTTGATGCCAAGCCTGATGACCCAAGTTCAATTCCCCAGGACTGACATGGTGGAAGGAGAGAGCCGGTTCCTCTAAGCTGTATTCTGATTTCAGTATGCATGCTGTAGTGCAGCTCCCACCCCCAACACAATACACAAACAGATAAATACATGCAATAAAAATTAGAGCAAATCAGTGCAGTGGCCCAGTTCCTGTCCCCCTCTGCCACCAACCTCCTGCCTTGATAACAGTAGCAAGTTACTCCACCTAAGCCTAGCTAATGAGATGGGAAGGAGTCTATGAGATGGCTGTGAAATTTCCCAAGATTTCCGGTATTAAAATATTGACTTAAAAAAAACTCTTGCTGTTTCTGACCTTTGTAAAGGTAAAACACTGGAGATTCTCTCCATAGTTGAGATATACATGAGACTCTAGTTCCATGACATTATGCTGGAGGACGGAGCACCCCAATATCAATCTACTCTCAATTAGCATTATCGAGGTCTCAGCAAGCAGCAGGCCCTGCGCTGGCGGGAGTGTTGTGGGACAGTCAGTGCTCACAGGCACTGGCACAGGTACTCTCTGGGGTCACTGGCAAGTGTGACATTCCCGCAGAAGCAGGTCTCAGCACTGTCACTTAACCAGGGCTTCGCAGTGGGCACCATAATCAGGCATTTGGGAAATTGTGGGTGTATTTTTTTGTTTTTATCTATTATTCTGATGCTGGTGGGGCGTGATCAGCATAGAGTAGTTAAGATTCACACCACTAGAGAGTCTGAAATGTGAGAGTCACACGCAAGGATTCTCTAATATCCTGTGTGATTTTCACTCAGGTGAAAGTTTGGCTCTTAAACACAAAATCTAGTCCAATTTTACATATCTAACATAAAGTACTTTCAGAAATCTTTAATATTCGCAATTTCCCCCTGGATGACCAGTAGAATACAAATGAAAAAGTACTTTTTTCTTCCTTCGGGAAAGCTGCCAAGAGGATCTCACTTTTCAGAGAAATCAGTCGCCAGCCCATACAGCCACATCAGCCTGCATTTATTCTGGAGAATTCCTGGTAGTTTAGGAGACAAACAGCTGACTCTGTTTTATCTTAAACCAAAGTTTGTCCAGGCATCTCACATATTGGAATAAATGCAGTTTTTATTTTCCTGCCTTAATTTTAATCATAACTTAATGTTTTAATATAATGTGTGGCAATCTATATAGATGAATTTCATTTCAGGATAGTAAAATGAGGGCAGAAAAAGATCTTCAAGCAGAAAAGCTTTCTGCATGCAGGGAATTAAGGAGTGCTCAGGAGACATGTCTTTTAAGCTGAGGTTGATAAGAATTATTTAGGTTAAGGGCAGTGGCTAGTAAAGGAAAGATTGGTGGGATATTGTGACATTGTTCCTCTCCTCCAAAACTGGTAGAAGCACAAAGTTCTGGAAGGATGCTTGTCAACACACATCATGTGTATTATACTCCGAATGCTATCATGAGAACATCTCACATGCAGACTAATTTGCAGGTGGATCCACATCCAACAATGTTCTGTGAAGGTAGGAACTAAAACTATTTCAAAAGCTCGGCCATGTGAGGTAATCTCATGCCGCTCCACTGAATCAGGCTTTTACCAGTTCCCTACTCTTGATGTCTGCAACAGAAACTTCTTACACTTAAGTCAAGTTATGCTACTTGACCAAACGGCAGGTCTCGAAGGGGAGAGAAACTGTCTTTTCAAGTATCTAACAAAGACAAAACAAACAAACAAAACAAAACCTCCTATAAGTAGGTATTTATAGTATTTGACAAATTCCTGTTGGTCAGTTAATGTGAAAGTGCAGAGTCTAACAATTGGCCTTTAAGAGAGGTTTACCTACTGTGAAGACTAGAACACATGAAACAATGGTAACATAGTGCCCTGCCCTCTAAACCCCAGCTCCTGTTTGCTTCTTCTATGACCATCGTCTCTCTTTTCTATTAGCCCATGAGAAGATGACAAGAAGGAAGAAAAACAGCATCAGAGCAAGCTGAAGTGGGCTAGTCCTCCGGGTCCTGATTAGTGAAACTCAAGGACATTAACAAGGGGAATGCAGCTGCCATCCAGATGTTATAAGAGGAGCTTACAGGCCTCAAGGGCCCTCAACCTGGAAGGTGCAATTGATTTTGGCTGGGTTTCTCTCCTTGTAGAAGGAAACCTCATTAATTCTGAAAGCATGAACTCTTCCTGGATCCCAGGCAGAGCAATACTGTAACCATCACATTTTAAAGAGAGATACTGAAATAAAATTTATTAACTGCTCTAACTGACCCCAAATTCATTTGTACTTAATATCCTAGCACTTGTAAATTCATACTCTCATCCAAAAAAAAATCCTCTTTTCTTAGTGCTTGGATGCTAGAATAAACGATTTCCTAATCACATAATCGCTTCTTTTGTGTGAGAGGACTGAATATCTGTTCTCTGCCATGAGACTTGCTATGTCTCCCGATGGAGCACTCACACAATCCTTTCCGTTGGTTGACTGTGAGCTTCACCACAGTCAATTGCTCAGCCTTGAGGAATTCGAGCAGATATGATGAACCTATTTCCTCATAGAGGCTTTGACTGTCATTGGTGACTCAATCATTGCTTACTTTTTCCACTACAGAGACCAGGAGCCTGGGTCCTACAAAGTCAAAGTCCTAGAAGACAGCAGCCGAGGCTCCAACAGAACAGAGCCCATACCAACATGTTGAGAGGGGCAGACAGTAAGCACAGTCATGAACCATGGGGTATGTTCTGTTTGCTATCATGTTTTATTTGCCGGAGAATGCTATTAACTGCTTATTATAACACAACCTAAAGAAAGATAACTAATATTGAAACTGGCTTGTAGTACCAAAGTGCTGTGGGATGGTCTGTATGTCAAATGTGTTGCTGATTGGTCAGTAAATAAATCACTGATTGGTCCGTGGCCAGGCAGGAAGTATAGGCGGGACAAGGAGGAGAATAGAGCTGGGAGTGGAAGGCTGAGTGGGGGACACTGCCAGCCGCCATCAGGATAAGGAAGATGTAAAGTACCGGTAAGCCACAAGCCACGTGGCAAGGTATAGATTAATAGAAATGGATTAATTTAAGCTGTAAGAACAGTTAGCAAGAAGCCTGCCACGGCCATACAGTTTGTAACCAATATAAGTCTCTGTGTTTACTTGATCGGGTTTGAGCGGCTTGGGACTGGCGGGTGAGAGAGATTTGTCCTGACTGTGGGCCAGGCAGGAAAACTCTAGCAACACCAAAGTATCTCTTCTTTTAAGAAGTCGTGGATATCATGCCATTTTCACTTGCAGAGGGAGTATAGTACATCCATTAATTTAGTGATCATGTTTACAAAAGAACCACAGGGACAGAGCAAAACACCAGTGTTCTGTAACTGGGCTCAGGCTTCTCAAGGGTTTATTTTGTTTCACTGTATATGAGTGTGTGCTTGTGTTTGTACAAGTGCATACATATGTGAGGGTGCACATATGTATGTGTGTACATGCACAAGTGGAAGTCAAAGGATACCTTAACGTGTCATCCTCAAAAACATCATCTACCTCCATTGAGATGGAGTTTTTCATTGGTCTGGAACTCAGATATTAGGTTAGACTGGCTGACCTCAGGGAGCCACCTGTCCCGAACACCCCAGCGCTGGGATTACAAATGTGTGCCACCACACATGGGTTAGGGATCAAACTCAGGCCCTCATCTTGCAAGGTAAGTTCTTCACCAACTGAGTATTGCTGCCTGCCTCTCAAGGACTTGTTTATTCATTTTGTACATACTCAACATTAGAACCCCAAAGGCCCAAGATATAATGAGTAACCCAGGCTATTTAGCCTGTGAAGCATTGCAAATGGCATTTATAGGTTGAACTAGCTCCTAAAGAAAAATTGCCCATTAAAACCTGCATTCTTATAAAGGAACTATTTCCTGTACAGAGAGCTAAGATTAACTGGGCTGCAAAACATAATTCATATGAAATTGTAAGTGTGAGCTGTAGAGCTGAGTAAGCAGTAGATGTTGACATCTGGAAGAGATCAGGTCTCAAAGCCATGCTTAATGCACGTGTGCATTTCTCCGTGTGCTAACTATGCCGATTTGTTTTTACACTACAAATTCTAAAATCCATTTAAGTATGAAAGCTTAATTCAACACAAACCAAATATGCTAAAACTAGGACATTTGACCCATCCAAGGACTGAAAACGGAACCTGACCATATGGTAACATTAAACATATTAACATACTCTCTGTGAATTGAATTGCAGGCTGATTGACTCCTTGGTGGTGGAGGGACTTGATCTTAAAAACTATGTTCATCTAATATAGGTGAATGGGAAAGGACTGTGACTTTCCCCCAAATGAGAGAATGATATGCAAGGGAAAGAAGATGAGTGACACTAGGCACAGCCTAATTATATTAGTATTATCATCATTATTATTGGCTATTGATTTTTATTCTTCATTAGCTTGTTTGACCACTTTGTGGCCAGCATTTCAGCATTTTAAGAACATTGGAGGTCTCACAAAATAGTATTGATTCCAATACCTCTATCAATAAAATTATCAGATTTTAAAACTTACTTTCTAAAATCAAGAAAATGCAACCTATTTTTCCCAGAGCATCTTCTCTCCTGATTCTAAACCCCAGCACACAAGCTTCCCTCTCTCCTTCCCATCATTCTCATCGTTGTCTTGTAGTGACCACTCAGTGATAGGCACAGTGCTAAGAGCCTGCTAAGAGTGTTGCAGGGCTCTCGGAACACAACACAACCTCTTTATCTCGGCCTGTATGGTCACACAGGATTCCTGCTTGCCTACTCCATTTCTTTTCTCCTCTATGATTCTAGTCACTATAGTCTGTTTTTAGGGGTTTTTTTACTTATCATATTTTTATATCATTCAGTGTCTGGAGCTGTGTTGGCCACTGTACCTGGTATCCCCTTTCCCTTGGATATTTGTCTTGTCAACTCCCCACCTGTAGATTCAATATGTACTGTCCTCGGGGAAGCTACCTCAGACCAGTCATAGCAGAGATAAAGTCAAGAGCTCAATTCTTTTCTTTCATTTCACTCCTTTATAATATTTTTTACATTTTGTGTCATAAATATAGAATTTATTTCCATGTCTGTGGGGAGTGGAGAAAGCCCTGAGCAAGTACAGTCCTGAGTGAATGTGGGCTGTTGACATGGATGTAACAATGTTAAGGACCTTAACCTCAGAACCACAGGAAAGTGACAAAGCCTTCACTCGGGATGAGGCTCGGAGGGATGGCAAAGCCTTGCTATGGTCTGTGTGCAGATGTTGATAGTGCGTGCAGAGAATGTCCACCAGAGCTTTCTCCCGTGGATATCTATGTCCTGAAGACTGCTCACCTATAGAGATTGCTCCTGCCAAGGTCAGCTAAACCTGCCTTCTTGTTCACTGGTATACAATAGTTCTGCTTCCTTGTTTGTTCATATGCAATAGGCCACCTCCTTGTTCAGCTGTGTGCAATAGCCCTGCTTTTCTGCCCAAGTGTACATAATTAGTAAGCTAAGCTTCTGGGATGCTCCATTTTCTCCATCAGAGAGCACAGCACACCTGATCCCAGCTCTTCTGCAGGTCTATGTGTTTGATTTCTTCCATTCTCTCTCTCCACCCCAGTCAGATCTGGCCCTGGAGGCTGTGCAAGGATGCAGCACACTCCTAAGAAGGGGGATCTTCCCCAGAAATCCTTCTGTTTCTCTAGAAGGTAGGCCCACCCACTCCATCAGCCTCTCCTGTAATGATCCTTTTCCAGTTTCCCTGAGTGGAGTGTGGGGTATATGGTTTGGGATATAAGTGGGGTGTAAAGTTCCATTCATTTCCCTCCATAGCCTACTTCAAGCCTCAGCTTTAATGTCATATGCTTTAGATATTCTTACTCAATCTACAACTGGAATTTTCTGGAACAAAAACATAAACTTTCATTGCTACCACCCGTGTCTTTCATTCAGAGGAGTCCTGATGGCTTAAGCCGCACATGAAATTAATGAGAGGGCACTGCTTTGTGTTCTGGAAAGATCTATCGTACTGTTCTATGCTATTGAAAAGCTCTCGTAGGCAAGAACAAATGAACTAAAAGTTAATCTCTCTTTGAATTCACCCTTTGTAACCATGTCACCCTGACCATGGGCAAATGTGTTTTTAGAAGTAGAAACTTTAGTTAAGATGTGTGTGTGTGTGTGTGTGTGTGTGTGTGTGTGTGTGTGTGTGTGTGTATGCATGTGTGTGTGCATGTATGCATATCTGCGTGTGTGCATGCATATGTGTGTGTGCATGCATAGGTATGTGTACAAATGTGTGGTTTTTAAGATACCAATGATCTTTTATAATTTCCATCAAAACCTTATGGGTTGTGCACATATCAGAATGTAATTAGTTATATGGCTGGCTATGGAAGAGTCTTATTGACTGATTCTGTGCTGATAAGCTCTTCAAGGCAAGAGTGAAAATTTAGTCTAGGAGACCTTACATTTTTATAATGTTTTGTAATAACCTTTAAAGCTTTCTTTCTCATTCCTTTCCTTGATTTTATTCTCCCAGAGGTTAAATAAATAGATAAGGCATCTTACTGAGGTAGAAACTGAAGTACTCGAAGAATTGCCCAAAGTTACACTGACATCTAACAACAGAACTGAAGTCATAACTTAGATCATTTAACCCAGTCCAATTCTAACTACAAAATACTCAGCCACTCTGCTTTACAAATTAAGTTGCTGGGTGTCAGTCAGTTTTGTGATTTTTTTCCCCCACAACAATTTAAAGGAGTTCACTAGATGGGTAGAAATCCATGGAGAGTATTCATCGAAGACACAGAGGGTCTGTCATTCCAGATGCACTAACAGGTCCTACAGTTAGTAGAAGAACCTTCGTCAGGAATACACAGAAACTCTGCAGAGTCCCTCCATATCACAGTGATGCTTTTGCTCATCTTCGACAACTAATGTGCCTGGCCTCACAGTCTCCTGTGACTTGAGAGTAAGGTGTGGAATTCACAGAGCCATAGTCTCTAGGGAAGACTAAGCTTCTCTTGTGGTTAAAGGCACACAATTACAAGTCTGTTCTTGCAAGAGACCAGTGCAACTCCTAAATTCAAACCACTACTTACTAAACACCAATTGTGGGCAGGAAAGTTAACATCTCTGAGCCTAGGATTCCAGAGATTAAAATGGGAGAATGTGAGGATTTAATGAGTCAGTAAAACTGTGTCAAGACTGGCCGGGTAATATGAGCAAATATCTGACTTTCTCTATGTTATGATGCCTGACAGATAAAATTGCTCCAGAAATTTTAATCCTATCAATAAATCTAGTTACATTTGCTCATGGGCATGGGCCATGGTGATCAGGGCTCCATTGAACAGCTCATAATTGAGCACTAGTATGAGTTTCTAGTTTCAACTCTCCTTTTTTGTGCTTCCCTAGCTCCCTTAGCAAGTTCTTGTTGTTCACCTTCCTTAGGTCTGTGGTAGACGGATCCTTTTAGATCCCTTGAGTACTTGTCCTTGAACTCTCCCTTCACCTGGCAGCTTCCCACTCCCCACGCTGCTGGTTCAGAGGAGAGGTATGAAATGCCATTTCTGACCAGCTCTCTGGAGATCTAGAGGCACCTGGCTGGACAGTCATTTGAAGACCACCACCACTCTACAGAAGGTGAAGATTGTAATGAGTGTCCCCCAGGGTCACTGAGGAGAAAGGTTACCTCGATGTAAGTGTGAGTACAGCCCATCTGGCTCTCCAGCTCCACGTGGGTAAAGTTGATATCTATTTTCTCTCCTTTGGGCTGTGTGATGAGATAGACACACTGTCTGTTGCGATTGAAAGGTCCAGACAAGGGAGGAAAGAGGAGCTCACCCTCGGTGTCCGTGTAGTTCCCACCACAGGGCAGATCCGCTGAGGAGAACCAAGGAGGAGGGAATGGTCACGGGGATGGCAATCCTCTGGCTTGATACACTAGATTCAATTGTCAAAACTTTAGCTCGCTCCTGCTCCACTCTGCTCTGTCCACTGTGTGTAAGTCCATGCCACTCATTATATGATTTTCAGTTTCACATAGATATGTGCATATGATATAGATATACAGATAGATATATAGATAGATGATGGATGGATGGATAGGTAGGTAGGTAGGTAGATAGATAGATAGATAGATAGATAGATAGATAGATAGATAGATAGGTAGATAGATAGATAAGACAGCTATAGGAACTACTGAGACCGACTGCATTCAGCCTGAAGCCAAAGCAAAGGGAGAAGGGACCAATGAGAATGTTGTTATTTTTCCTGATACAGGGATTTACAAGGTGTTTCCCCCATGAACTCTCACTGAGAACACAATAATAGGTGTCAAAAGTGAAATCCTCTAACTCACTCAAATGAAAACCATAGAGTATTTCATTTTTGTTCTGTGTTTCCAGGTCTGAATGTAGCTGAAGGTACCATAGCTAAGTGTATGGAAGTGAACTCTAGGAACTGGAACAATACCTTCCTGGAAGTTGGTTTCTGTGCACTGGATGTGATCCAAGAATGAAGCTAGGTATTTCTCAAACAGACCGCACTGTGCTCATAAACAATCTTGTGTGCAAGAAAACAGAAAACACCACTAGGGAACTGAGGTTCTGAATTAGTTCAATTTAGGTGCCTGTGGTCTCCATCATAATATGGATCCCATAATTGAAGGGTTAAGAGGTATTATAGTATTTAACACTGCGGAGATAAAGAATGAATATGAAGTGGTATGAGAAATATCCATGAAGGCATGGCACTAATCTAAGAAAGCCTTCATGTGAGGCATCCCTATAACAAGCAGCTGTGAGCACAGCACCACAGTCCCAGTGTACGGTCAGTCCTCAGTGGGTCGGTTACTTACATGGTGTGGTTAGATAGGTGATGTGGAAACCCTTGTCAGTGATGTCACCATCAGAATGGAAATGAATCCTGGCAGCGGGGCCCGTAGTCTGGAGTGGTGGGGTAGACAGAGAAGTGCAGAATTTCCCAAGAACGGGATCTTGTTGGAAAGGACCATCTCGAATCTAAAACAAAAGTACAAGTCAGTAAGGTGAAAGAAGTCAGGTTCTCACTAACCAAGTTACTTGGGACACAGGCTTCAGAAAAATCTGTCATTTAAGTATGGTAGCAAGGCAGAGTAATTTGAAGCGCTGGATTAACACAATCTATCATCTAGGACGTTTCCATGTCATATACATAACTAACACACAGTCAGTGTTGGGTAAAGAATGTGTGCTCACAGTCTAGTCAAATGCCTCATCTACTGCTGGAATTTCAACTCTGGGGCAGAATACATACTTAGGATTTTTCTTATGCTGATGTAAAGTTTAGTGTTTTCTTTCATGGTTCCCCTTCCCTAGAGTGAAGAAATCCTAGTAATTTAGAAGGAAATGAGTATTTCAAAGGAAATAGGAGAATGGATGATAGTAATGAGAACTGATCGGGGTGAGTACAGGGGTGTGTGGAGAGATGCAGATGGGAGAGCATAAGCATCAAGATGCTTTAAAAGCACAACTGTGATGGTCATTCAGCACTGAATACAGTAGCCCCTGTATAGTGACAGTGTAAACAAACTGTTTCTTTTTCTATGTTCTCATGTGTGTGAATTCTGTGTGCATGTGCCTGTGAGTGTGTGTGTATTATAGGTATAGGGGTGTGTGTGTGTGTGTGTGTGTGTGTGTGTGTGTGTGTGTGTGTGTGTGTGTGTATCTATAAGCATGCATATGTATTTGTGGCCAGGTCATTCTTATGGAAGTCAAAAGACATTCATGAATCAGTTTTCCCCTTCCTTTGTCAGATCTGGTAATCAAAGTCAGGTCCTCAGGCTTACTGGATAAGTGCTTTTATCAGCTGAACCATTTTACCTACCCAACCTATAATGAGGTTACATGCATAATGGTGTCCACTCAATGGTTTTTTTTTCCTCTTCCTCCTCCACCTCCTCTTCCTTCTCCTTCTTTCTTCTCTTCTTTCCCCCATCTTCCCTCACCGCCCCCTCCTTTTAGCAGGACTGAGGATTGAACGTAGGGTCTTGTGTAATCTCCAGGGTTAAAACCCCTTGTTGACTTTTTATGCATTGAATAAATCACCTTGACCACTCGATAATTCTGACATAATTGCAAAAATCTATACTATATAGAACACCAAGGAGTGAATGAACTGAAGAATATTCTCATATGGTCAATTTCATTTACTCAAATTAATTTTTCCATTGGCAGCAAATTTATAGGGCAATGTTACTTTATTTTTCACTTGTAACTAGTTCCTTGAAACACTGATGAGAAATGAGAGGGAGTTCAATATTGTCCAGATGATTGATACTTTCTATAATGTGGTGTTCAGGAATTAATATGTAAGAATAAAAAGGCTTTAATCTTAATTTGATGGGATTTATTGAATATTAATTTCACAATAACTCACTTTTCACTGTCAACTTTTTAAAGGATATTTTGCTAAGACTTTCCAAGGAGAAGCTGATCTTTGAGTCATTCCCAGAGGTTTCAAATCCATTATTACCACTGCTAATGACTAATGACTTCAACTTTGGAGACCTGCTTGGCAGCTGCATCCTTCATCCTTTATGAATAATTCCACAGCACTCCATCCTTCTCTAATGGACTGAGAAAGACTCATTGTCTCTTTAGCAGTGCTGGGGGGTACTGAGATTTACGGTAATAAAGGGACAGGAAGCGCCCATGAACTCAATCTCCTTAGTGACCTTTCCAGTCTACAAGTAGAGAGCAACGTTTTTTATGTATCTAATTGTGTATGGAATTTGAATGTAACAGTCCCTTTCCTCCTCTATATTGTAACTTTTTGCTAATGGGATAGAGCAGACTGACTCGTCTCTTCTCGAGGGTGATTTTCAACATTTTCCAGTGAGATTTAACACTGACAACCCTTTCCACAGAATCGTTATGGCTCACTAAAATCAAGTGGTGGGACACCCTGAGGGCTTGCCTTGGACAACTAAAAATTAGAATCTATATTGGAGGAGACAGTCATTGCTTAGGATTTGTTCTCATTCCGGGAGACTAAATCTCAAGTAAGGGATGGGGGAAGGCAAGGCAAGTTCTTCCACACTCAAGACAAACCTAGAAATGGAGTAACAAACTGGAGTGATGGAAATTAAAGATTTAGCATTGGTTGCCTAAGTATTCATAACAAACCTGGGCCATCCATGGGCATCATTAACCTGTGTCCTGAGTGCTAATCATACCGTACCAAGGCCTTTCTAAATGTATTTTGGTTTGGTTTGTTTTACCTCCAAATAATCTTTACTGCAGTCACTGTGGCTCTCCAGGCTCAAGGTCCCAAAGGTAAATGTTATCAAGTAGCCAGGATGAGCTAGAATGTGCCAGACACAATCTCTTCCTGGAGGGTAGTTTCCAGGGTACCCCGGAGATGTAATAGAACCATAATCACTAGTCAGTATGCCGCCACACTCTGAAATAAGAAGGGAAAATGACTAAGTTCATATGTGGGCTAAATTCACATAGACTCTGCTGTCAGAAGGCAAGATCTTTTTCACAACTATGAAGAGTTTAGGTTAGGAGGCCCTCATAAATTACACAGTCCTTGGAGCTGCCCAGCTTCACAGCTATAAATCTACTACAAACGGATAAGTAAACAAGTCACCCATGCAGGAACTCTGTACCTACAGAACATCATACAGTTATGTGATTTAAGACACAGAGATGACCCTTCTGAGACATAAATAATGAGAATATAGACTCAGTTCTTTAGCCCTGAAGATTAGTTTCTATATATTAACTCTAAAAATGCTGGAACTTCTGGCAGCCCCTACATCTGTCCATGAACCAGAACACTTTATATTTCAAAACAGTTAAGGAACACATAATTTTCTTTTGGAAGGGTTTTCATATACTACAATAAATTATTATATTTATATATTATATAATTACAAAATAAATTGTCTTATATGTAAATCATATATAAATTTTATAATATATAAATTATAAAATAAATACATTGTTCACTTTATAAATGAGGACATTTAAATGTACATGGTGATTAAGCCACTGCCCAGAAATGAAGCAGATAGGGCACTGAATGGGGCTTCCTGGTGCCATCTCCAGCACACCACACCAGCTCCTTACATGGTACTCAATGACTGGAAATGCGAAGAAGAACTCTTTCTCTTTAATATTCACATTTATTTAATGAAGAATCTGTGGTGGCTATTAAGGAATGTTACTGTAGAATCAAAAAGTAAAAATACCAACTATTCTAGACTTTTGGTAAATATACCCTAAGAAAGAAATTAACTAAGGTGACATTTTAAGTATGTAAAATGATATGATATTTAGATAACTATACACACACTCAGGCAAAGCAAAACCTGAAACAATTAGTTACATAGTTTTCATTGCTTCTAACAGGGACCATCCAAGTTCAGAGAAAGGTATTCTTATAAAACTTAACTTAAAAATTATTATGAGCATAAAGCTTTTTAATTCTTAAGATAATATAATCAATGTAAAATCTTAAAGATCAAATGTAAATATAATAAATAACAGTTATCATCTATAATGTAGAAAATTTCAAAAAAAAGTAGTACTATGAAGAGAGTACACTGAGAAGATTCCAGTGTCCTTTGTACACATAGGAAAATGTCCAGCATCTCTGCGACCACTGAGATAAGGTTTCTTGACTGTTGAAGTGATAAAAGTCCAGAATTTTTAAAATAAGTTACTAGACTGGCTGTGGGGAAATAGCCATTGTCCCACATTATTGTAAGAATATAGGATAGTCTGTCAACTGCAGAAGAAATATGTCACATAGAGTAGCAAAACCTTATGCCTGCTTGTTGACCAAACAATCCCAAAGGCACAGTGGTGAGGTTGGAATAAGGCCAATATACAAGGTATTTGTTGCCATAAAATCTAGAATTTCAAAAGAGTAGAGGAAACAGACAAAATGGCCATCAATACACAGTTGATTGAATAGGCCGTGATGTATCTAGTCTCCAAGGTCCAGGAAGGACAAGGAAACCCTCTGAATATGAAATGCTTCCTTTTATCTGAGAAGGGAAAGTATTAGTCTGTATGACCATTGGAGGGATAACTGCAAAGCTAATTTTAAAAGCCATCTACTTATAGCAGACAGCAGAGCAGGAGTCAGGAATGGAAGCTAGACATTTGAAAACGCACAATGTTTACTAAGATGGCTTTAGCACTGTGCATACATTTTATATAACTATAAAATGACATTTTTAAAAAATCTTAAAAATCACAAACAAAAAGAAATAAGGTGGTGGCGCACGCCTTTAATCCCAGCACTCAGGAAGCAGAGCCAGGCTGATCTCTGTGAGTTTGAGGCCAGCCTGGTCAACAGAGCAAGATCCAGGACAGGCACCAAAAGAACACAGAGAAACCCTGTCTTGAAAAAATAAAACAACAAAAAAAGAAAGAATTTCACTACACTGAAAAGCTAAACATGAATACTAAAAATATGTCTTTAAAATTCTATAATACTGCCAAGAAAAATGTACCTTTAGCTTTATTTATTTACTTACTTAGATGGGGCCATGCTATGTTTGTCATTCAGGTTTGGGATTTGTGATCTTTCTGCCCTCCACTTCCTGAGTGGGACTATAGGTGTGTACCAGCATGCCCCGCACAAAATGTTTTCAGCATAAAACATCAGCAACAAAACATTAAATAGTTTTCCATTATGTTATTAGTGATAATATTGGCATTGGCCTTGGAAAATCAAATTTGTAGCGTCAAATCCAGAAGTGATATGCTGATGTCACTGGGAATCATGTTTTTTAGTGGATGAGAGAAGAGCCATAAATATCAAGGAAAAATAAACCTTAGAATCTCAACACACCAATATATTGCAGGATTACTGCAGGTCTAGCATTTATTTCCCTTAATAATATTAATAAAAAGGCATTTTCTACTTCTTCCCATTGAGTTCTCCAGAGACACTGAGAGTCCCAGCAACAGAAACCATTCCCAGCACCCATACGTAGGATCTAAAGTCCATTTCCCATTGAAAGAATGGCAGATCTTTCAGGAAGCAGCCCTTTGCAGTGCTGAGATCATAAAAACATGGAAATGGCCTGGAACATTCTTTCAAAGCAGAAAACAAAGCAACTTTCAAAGGTAACTGGGGTCTGGTCAAACAGACTCAGAAACAAAGTAGAAAAAAACTCTCACTAAATGAAACAATTGAACATTTTTAAAGTATCTAAAATATTTTAAAACACATCAACTCTCATCAAATATACTAATTTCTAGATATCAAAAACAAAATGGAATAATAAATAATCATTTTAAAGAATTCTAGAGAACCAAGTCATTAACTCAAATACCAATAGAAAAGGGAGCAAATTGTAAATGTATTCCACAGTTCCTGTGTTCTAGCTTGCTCCCTGTGGCTCTCATGAAACCTGAGCAAGAGCAACCTAGGGAGGAAAAGAATTTGTTTGGCTTAGGGTATGGTGGTCATCAAAGAAACCAAGGTAGGGTCATCAAGGAAACCAAGGTAAGAACTCAAGGCAGGAATCTGGGGGCAGGAACTAAAACAGCAGAGACCCAGGAGGAATGTTGCTTACTGTCCTGCTCTCCATGGCTTGCTCAGTTAGACTTTTTACACAAATAAGGACCACCTGCCTAGGAATGGTAACACCCACAGTGGGGTAGACCCTCTGCCATCAATTACCAGGTAAGAAAATGCCCCATAAACTTGTCCTATTCCCAGGTGACTCAAATTTGCATCAAATTGACAAGCATTTGATCACATTCTTTAGGTCTGAGAATCTAGTGTCTATGTGTAAATAAATATCTGACATAGTGAACTTATAATTTAAGATAATAAATACATTAATAAATCATGCACTCTCATCACTTTTTGAGTTCCTATGAATCTAAAAGCTGCAAAAAAAAAAAAAAAAAACCCCAAAAACAAATAAACGAAAAACTGCAGAAAGCACAAAAGAGACACTTTGGAATGAGAAGATCAACCAAGATCAACAGTCTTACTGTTGATCAATACTAAAGTAATACTAAAGACAAAGAAGATATGATGTGCTACCCAAAGTAGATACTTTGGCCAGATTTTTAAAAATGAATTAAATAGAACTTTTGACCCAAGAACCATTTTACAACATTATAAATGGCACATGGATGCAAACACCACAATTCATAATGTTGGATGATGTATAGAACACACTACTAGTCTTTATCAAGTAAATTCCAACAGTGCTTGATTCTTGGTATTAGGAACTACTGTTTATTGTTGCTGTTTGGGGGTATCAAGGAACAGACAGCCTGCTACTGTGATCTTTGAACAATGGAGAAGCCTATATGCTGAACCCGGTACTCATCCTGAAATTCTTCCTGTGTGTAACTTCCAGATGGTACCGAGGTAAACAAAGGAGACAATGACTTCTGCTAACTGAAGTCCACAAAAATGTGAAGTTTCTCAAGTAGTCAAGATTTCAGAGCAACATATAAAAAAGCAGTTGCATGGAGAAAATACCAAACATTTTTGTGGGAGTTTCCAAGGTAATTAGAAGAAGCCTTAACTGCTGATACACTGAAGACGACTACAGAATATCTGAGACCAGTTCAGGGTGTGGGGCCAGAGAATGCCAAAGTTGAAGAGGATGAATAACCTAATACTATTATAGACCCAGTCAGAAGGGAAAGAGTTTTGTGAACATCCTGAAAACTGAATGGAAAGCTCAGTAAAGCTAGAACCGTATAGCAGGAACCATGGTACTCCACCAGGATTAAGGGGACGTTTTGAAACACCCTTCTTAATTTAGGCATCAGCTGGATCGAGGTGCTCTGTCAGTGCAGTAACTGCCAGTTAAAACAAAACCAACTGTTTAGAGAACATAACACAACCCAGAATCCTTATAATAGCATATCTGTGATGCTCTGCTCATGACACAAATGTACTAGGCCCAAGTGGGAAAAAGCAAACAATAATTAACAAGGGAGTCACTCTGAGCAAAGCCAGAAACAAATCTGATATTGGAGTTCCCAAACAATTCGTAGGACCACAGAGGTTAGTTATAGAGTAAGAGACCAGGGTGTACAGAAAACAAGGCTCTCTAAATCAATACGATGAAAGCACATACAAATTCACAGAGATTGAGGCAGCATGCACAGGCCCTGCACAGGTCTGCAACTGGGTCGTTGTGTACAAAGTATGGTTTTCAGTTTAGTGTTTTTATGGGTTTCCTGAATGTGTGAACGAGTAATTCGGTATCTTTTGCCTTCTCTTAGACTTTTTTCCTTCTGTTTGTCTTGTCCAACTTTGATGTGTTAGTTTTTGTTTTATCGTATGATATCACATCACATCACATCATATCATATCATATCATATCATATTATATTATTTTCCCTTAGAAGCCTGTTTGTTTTCTTATGAGAGACAGAAAGGGAGTGGATCTGGATGGCAAGGGAGGAGGGGAGGGACTGAGGGGAGTAGAGGGAGGGGAAACTGTAATTAGGGTATGTTTGAGAAAAAAATCTATTTTCCATAAATGAAAAAAGAAAAATAAAAATGTGATATCTGTAATAGAGAAGTCTTTACATGGTGAGTGATTTTTATCATTACATTGGATACAGTAGAAGACAGGACCTCATGTACGTAGCTAGACATTTCAAAAGTTCCAAAAGAAAGTAAACAAGTGAATCAAGTTTAAAAGAAGGAGAAAAACCAATTGGAAGGGGAAAGGAATGCAAGAATAAGAAAGCAGTGAAGCACAATCATAGCCTCTAACATATATTAATACATCATATGAATTCCAAATTGAGAGGAGATAGGGATATTAGAGGGGAAGGTGTGGCAACCTAAGTATTACAGTTGACTTTCCAGAGAGAAACTATGCAGGACAGAGACAATGAAAGGACAGGTTATGATAATATTCTTCTAATATATTATTATTAGATGTAATATATAATATAATATTCCGAGTATAAAGGTGACTATTGGTCCAGCAAATGCTGAAGCCAACAGCAGTGTGTGTGGTATTAGATGCATTAAAGGATGTGCTTGAAGAGGAAGTAAAATAACCCTACATAGAATGCAAATTTCTCTCTACTTGCAAAAGATGTAATTTTACACACAGAAAAATCCCTAAAGACTCCACCAAAAATAGTTAGATCAATAAAATAAGCTAATAAACTAATTCAGGAAGGCTACAGGTTATTTATTAACTATGTACATATTAATAATAAATTATCCAAAATAGGAGGTTTTTTTAAAATCCCATTCAAAATAGCATCAAAAAGTGATTCACCTCATGAATAATTTAACCAAGGACGTGGAAATATCCACAGACTGAAAACTACAAAAGAATGCTAAGTGAAACTGAGTAAAATATAAATAAGTGGGAAGATATACATTCATAAATTGGAAGAATTAATATTATTTTCAAGAACCCATGGAACCCAAGGTGATCAACAAATTCAATATCACCTCCTTCAGATTTCCAATGGTATTTTCTGTAGAAACAGAAAATCAGTCCTGTATTTCATACAAAACTACAAAGACTCCAAATAAGTAAAACAATCCTGAGTAAGAACAAAGCTGGAGACATCACAGCACTCAGTGTCAAAAAATATAAAACAGCTCTAATCAAAGCTCTATTAGGAGTATGTAAACAGACACCTAGTTCTATATATCAGAATAGAAAACACAAAAATGAATCTGTTTCCTACTAGACTGATTTTAGAAAAGGGTACTAAGAACAATCAATAGAGAAAGAATAACCTTCATTATAAATGTTTTTCAAGGTGGGGCTTCACTTGCAAAAGAATTGAACTTGACCATTATTTCATATCTTATAAAAATGTAAGCCGAAAACAGACTAATGACTTAAATATATGGACTGACTCTGTAAAACCACTACTAAAACAGAAGGAAAGATCCATATTGTAGATCGGAATAATGATTAATTTTGAACCCAGCTCCAAAACACACAGGCAACAAAAGTCTATAGTTAGTGGAAAAAAAAATTGATACACCGTAATAAGATGTTTCTGCACACCAAAAGAAACAATCAATGGACTGAGGAGAGAGCCTGGAGGGTGGATAAAACATCAATAATCCATATCTTATAGTGTGGTGAGGGGTTGATGGCCAAAAGAGATAAGGAACACCAACACCAAGAGGGGAAAACCCCAGGAACTAGTACGGCCATTGTCAGGGGGATGCTGGGCGGCAAGTGTGTTTAAGTTATACTGCAGGATCAACTCTGGACCTCTGAAGCTCAGCGTGGTAGCAATAGTTAACACAACATGATGTAACTGAAACTTGTTAAGAGAGTAGTTCTTAAACATTCTCACTACATACAGAATGAAAAGGAAAAATAAATATTTGAAATAATATTTAGGCAGGAAAAAATAAATATTTGAAATAATTAGAAAAGGAAAATCAAATAAAATATATAAAGCAGAGTTGTCAGAACCAAATAAATGAACTTTATAGTCACAGCCTGATATCTCTGCACAGTTCTCTCATCAGTAGAGCAAACATCTTAAGTCACTGGAGAAATAAAATATTTGAACAAAACTACTGTCCAAATAGACTAAGTTAACATACATGGATGGCCATACCCAATTTTTGCAGAATGCATGTTTTTCCTCCCCTTAAGGGGAATACCAAAATAAAAACATTAATTCATGAAGCGAATTCCGAATACTTGATACATACTTCATTACTGAGTGACCACACTAGTAATTATGGTCACCGAGAAACCAAAATAAAAATGGAAAAATATCTTAAACTAAATACTATTTACACATTAAAACCTGTGGATAAAGATAAAACAAAGTAAAATGCTTCACTTCAATGCATACATGAACAAGTATTTTTGTTGCTTATGAGTACTGATGTGTATGTGTATATGCAGAGGTCAGGGGCTGGCTTCCGGTGTCTTTTTCAGTCACACACCACCTCACATATTGAGGCAAGCCTTCTCACTTGAACCTAGAGTCTGCTGATTTGGTTCATCTAGGCAGCCGTGCGCTCTGAGGATCTACTTTCTCTGCCTCCCAAGCACTGGGGTTATAGGCAGGTTGTTACTCTTGCCTGGCTGCCTGGCTTTTATGGAAGTCCCTGTAATTCCACTAAGCCTCTCCTCGGCCACTAAAAAAAAGTATTTTTAAAGGCCAGAAACCACTTTCCAAACCTTCTAGGTCAAAATCTCAGGAAGATCATAAAAGCAACAGTAAGTTAAGCTTTCCAAATATAAGAGAGAGAAAAAGTTCACCTTTAATGTAAGTAAGCTTGAGATGGATTCAACACACTAATGTGGCAGAAGTAATGCAATGTGACTTTAAGGAACTGATTGCCAGCTGCCAGCACCTGCTGGGCTTTGCTGTAGTGCTCCCTCTGGGAGATGGCAATAAACATAGAAGAACACCTGTTAGAGGGGCACCAGCCTGAGAGTATTCTCACTTAACGGACAATATTGCTGCCCATGTGACAAAGGCTGTTTCCCTTAGTTCTGGGGCTCAAACCGAGGGCCTTATATGTCCAACAAGAGCCCCTCTGTCAAGCTCAAGTGATTCGTTTTGACCGTGTAGCCCACTTGGACCTTCAGAGAACTACAGAACTAGCTAACGTCTGATAGTTGCTGCTTAACAAATTTTAGTTACTAATCGTCATCTTGAGCCCTTTCCAAAGTTCAAGCCCACAAAATAAACTAAGATTCCATAACACTGAATTTTTCAGTTATTTGCTAGATAGTAATTGAAATAGGAGAAAACACTCTTGGTTTGATAAAAGTCACCTACAAAAATTTACATCTAACATTGTATTCAATAAAAAAATACTGAATGAAAAAAAAAAATACTGAATGTTTCCCCGATGTAGTCGAGAAAAAGACAAAAACTCTCCTCTCCTCTTTATCTTAGCACCATATTGCATATTTTAGCCAAGGCAATAAGTAAAGGAAAAGATGTAAGACTTAGGAAAATATGAAAAATTACAAATATCCTTCCTCACAGATGACATGATGGCAATGAAAAATAGAAAAGAATCTTTGAAAGACTTAGAACTTAAACTGAAATCTATGAAGCATTACCAGATAAAAAGCTTATAAAAGTGAGTACCAATTGAGTATAATAAAGAACAACACCTGGGCACAGTGGCACACACTTTCAGTTCCACCACTTGGAAGACAGAGACAGGAGGATCACTGTGAGGTCAAGGCTAGCCTGGTCCATAAAGTGAGTTCCAGACTGGCTGGAACTAAACAGTGAGACCAAAACAAACAAACAGAAAATTATCAATTATCAAGTGGTCATTAAAATAAGGACTATTACAGAAAGGAACAGGCAATGTCCCCAGTGATATTCTTGGAGTAAATTTACTAGTGGAAGTTATAAAAACGGTTTTCTGATTGATAGTGAGAACCCATTAATGAAAACACCACCTCCTTTGGTCATAGGATATGGAGAAATCAAGTTGGTACTGACCAGGATGTTTCCTCCCTGTAGTTCTAGAAGGTTCTATGCAGGCTGCTGTGGAAGGGAGGATTCATCTGTGAACCCTGTAAACTGCAACAATCACCTGTAAAAGGTATGTCCATGGTGCCATAGTGGCATGCATTAGTTACAGGACAACCAATCACATTCTGAATGGATTTAAGGTTTGCTCCATAAGAAGAAACACATGCTTGGTACTGTAAATCTGGCCAAGAACCCAGCTCCCAATGATCAGTCCCCTAGCAGCCCCAGTGAGGACTGCACCTCCAGTAGTATGTGGGAAACACAAATTGGACTTGGTGAATTATTTAAAAACAAGAAAGAAAGAAAATGACATGACATTGGCTAAGGTAAGGTAAGGATGGATCTGAGAGCAGTTAGGGAAGAGGGGAAGTAAATACAATAAAAATAAATTGTATTAAGTTCTGAAACAATTAGTACAAATATTATATTAAAACAACCCAAAAAACTCTGTCCAGTAATTTGATCAGGACCTCATTACTATTCATGCATTTTAAACTTGGCAACACACACTAATTTTTCTGGTCTTAAATTCAAAATTGAATTCATTTTAAAATTATTTGTTCTTAACATAATTATTGAAAATGTCGCATTATTTCTAGGTCCCCCAAATGTCATAATATTATGACAATATGTCTTGCTTTCTCCTTGTTTTACACTCACCCGGCTGCGTTGCCTCCCACTTCGCTGTAAAGCCTCTTCCACGTCTTATGTATTCAGAGTAGAGATGAAAGAAAAGACTATTGCCACTGCTGTGGATGCCCTGTGGGGGCCTGGAGCCACAGTATCTCCCAAGAGGGAAAGCCGCTGAAGAATCTCCGTCGTGAATCTGAAGAAATTCTCGGGGACAGTTATTTGCTGGTTCTAAGTCAAAAAACGTGAAAGTGATATGCAGAACCTAGAAGATCATAAAAGCATTTCCATGTTAAAGCTAAATCATTTCTTCCACTAGCTAACAAGCATTTACATTAAGAGATACAGCCGTCCATCCCGAGTTACCCATCAATGCGTGCAGCAAGTCTACACATAAAGGGCTGATTTTAAAATCATTCAAACCAAATTTTAATTCATATAGAAATATGAAAAAGTCTCTGGAGAGATGGAAATGCTATTTATCCTAATTGATTCATTATATATTGTATGAATGTATGAAATGATCATGATCATATTGTGCTCCATAAAATATGGACTAATGCTATGTATCAATTTTAAAAACTCTTAATGAATAAATAAACCAAGATTTTTACAAAACTGACTAATCTACCAAGTGTATGGTCAAGAGTGTTTCTAAATAAAAAAAAAATTTAAATGGTCATTTGAAAAAATATATCTTGTTAAGTCCAAATGGCTGATTTATATTCATAACAATCCCCCCTGAGCCCCTGAAGAACCTGTAGTGTGTGTTCACCCCTATCCCATATTGATTCCACAGGGGTCAGTTGTCCAGCCTAGACTAAGACTGGAATGTGGGAATAAGTGGGCCTGGGGAAGGTCTTCAGGGGCTGGACAGCTTCCAAGTGCAAGCACTACCCAGAGCAGGAAACAGGAAAAGGGGAGTGTTTAAAGTACTAAGCACAAAAGTAGAATGGAGTGAACAAGTGCACACTTTGAATGTAATAAAATACAAAAGATTTTAAATTGATAACCCTATTTTAAAACAAATGTCTGAAAGAAGACTGTTAGATTTAATTTTCACCAGAATCAAAATTCACAACAGTATTTAGCTAGTATGAATAATTTCAAGATGTTTTTAAAATTCTGTTAGAATATTTTAATAGGTTTCCTATCATTACATTATTTCCTTACTTGAAGCAATTTAAATGGAAATCAAATAAATGTTAATTAGTTGTTTATGTTCTCTATTATATATTATAGAAAAGAGAATATATAAAATTATATCATGAAAACAGGAAAATTTTCTTAAAAATGGCAATATACATATAAAATTTTTCACATAAAATCTTTTCCTTGGAAAAATATATTTTCAATGTCAGGAAATGGAATTCATTAGAACCAAATGGAAGGAAGGAAATTCACACACCACACTCGGTGAGAAACTCTTCTGGAATTTATTCTATTGTGCAATGACCAAGCTACAGCTGGCTGTCCTTCCTTAAGGGAAAATAATACTTTCTAACCCTCACACAACATCCTCTATAGCATTAGTTTGCTGGGAAAAGTTAATGAGATTTCAGGGTGGAAACTTACCTATTAAGGCATACCACGTTAAGAATTGCTTAGAAAACAAATACTTTGGAAGTCCGACTGTTCAGGAATGATAAAAATGAAAATCATGGGCTCAGATCTTAGTTTTAAGTGCTTATGTAATGGCTTAGTCATGAATTTTGGAATCAGATGCTCTGAAGCTGTTTCTTAAAAACCATATGCTATTTAAAAAAAACACACACATACCTGGACAAATGTCTCAAACACTCTAGGCTCCCTTTATGCATGTATAAAATGGGGTTAATAATTCCTAGCATTAGAGTTTAATGTACATTGTATAAGGAACATATTGTATTAGGCACAGAGTGGATACGTCATAAGGAAGCTATCTTAATACAAGTTGCCACCATTTCAGGACAGTACATTGAGGTCTGTGGTCATCTTCAAATACTACTTTTGCAGAAACAGCATGGTTGTACAGATTAACTACTGGCCTACAGCTAGACCACCAATGTTAGGAATCCTTCCTTATCAGAAGTAAACAAACAAACAAAGAAAAAACAATGGGCTCTAGAACAAAACTTCACTTGGAAATTCATCTATTCCTCTTATAAACTAGGTAGTATTCAAAATAAAAACTTCAAAGCTTCTCTTATTTTCTATTATTTCAACTGTAAAATAAAGATATTTGTTTATTTAGAAGAATTTGTATGAAGTTAGACAAAGAAAAACAAAGTATCTAGCCCAAAGCCCAGCACTTACCAAATATTCAATATATAAGAGTTGAATTATCATCATATATATTTTATATGTGTGTATACACATGCATATATATGTCACACATATCAAATGTTTAAATGTATAAGTGAAATCTGCTCATGGACAAAAATTACTATACTTACCTTTTCCTCATCAGTCCTGACAACCCAGAAACAGTTAAGATCATGAACATAGGTATCATTAGGGCTCTGGTAGGCAAAGACTCCTTGTGTCCCCGAGAGGATCTCTCCACAAGCTAAAAAAAAAAAAAAAAAAAAAAGAGTTGTGTTTTTCATAGATTCTCAAAAGGAAGAGGCCAGGCACACACCCCCCCCCCCCATCCTGAAGTTTCCTCTTCTCTGGTCCCTTTCAGTTGATATCAAGCCACACCCCACCTTGTATCCACTGTCTGTTTCATACCCATCACCTTTTCTACAAACTTCACTCGATTCCTTTCTTTTCTTTTGCTAACCCTCTCCAAACCTTGATGAACTAGACCTTACCCCTGATTCAATCACAGCATTACTTCTGCCAGCTCCTGCCCCCTTCCTGCTAAGTCCCAGGCAGACTTAGCTCCCTGGTTACAGATAAATGGAGAGGATGTTTCATGCTTTGATATTTTATCATCTTCCTAAACCTGTGCTAAGACCTCAGTGAAGGCACTGAATCCAAAGCAGGAGGGAGAAGAGGGAGGGTGGAGTCGTTAGGGAAACCTTGAAGGAAGAGTCTGAGTGTGGTGTCTAAGTAATAGATGCAGCTGGCTGGGAGATAAAGGAGGGATTTGTGGAGGTCGTAAGAACTGTCCCAAATAAAAGAACACAGTGACAATACGCATGTGGCCCGTGGAGTTGAGTAGCAAAAGAAAAAATGGCTGGCTTGAACGAGGGTATCTCTAGGGAACTAGAGAAAAACATGGTGATATGGAGAAAATGCAAGTTGTTCATGGAAGATCAATGAAAAACAACCTAAACCTTGATTGACTGGACAATGAAGAACCAATAAATCAGCGATAGGAGAACGATGAGTAAGGTAGGAGAGTATTCTGTGAACATTAGGTGCCGGCCATGCAGGAAGTGACCCTCTAGGAAAACCGAAAGGGACATTCCCAAGTGCATGGTATATCTGAAAGAATATAATGAGCATGGAGAATTCTAACAATATGTTTGAAGAAAAATGTTTCTTGTTTAAAACTAGGTTTATAAATATCCACTTTGTGAATTCTATGCGATTTCTGTAAGGAGAAATCTATGTCTTAGCATCTAAAGTGGTAAGAAATCAGGTTACATTGGCAAATATGCAAAAGGCCTATTGGAGGATGATGTCGATAAGCAGTTGATGGGATGTCTTCCGTACCTCTCTGGGGTATCTGACAATAATACCCAGTCCAGGAGCTTGTGCAGTCACAAGTGAAGCCATTGATACCATCGATACAGGTGCCCCCATTCAAACAGGGGTTGCTCAGGCACTCATTAATGTTTTCTGTGCAGTTGGTTCCAGACCAGCCTGAGTCACACTTACAGAAATAACTCGATACTGTTTCCTAAGGAAAGAATAAATGCATCATAGTGTAAAACAAATGGGCGACTATATGACAGAACAACCCAAATCATGAAAAGAAGTGACAACATAAGGTATATATTTAACAGGAATTAAACAATAGAATATATTTTCCAGTAGACAAATTCATTAATTGGTAAGTATAATTAGTCATATTTGTTTCCATAAAACTATGGAGTTTGCTTACTATTTTGAAAATCATTGATAAACTAAACTAAGTCCTGGCTAAAGATAGAGCTCAAAGTTTAAAAGGGCTTAATGCTTTTGTAGAGGACCAAGATTCAATTCCCAGGACCCATATCAGGCAGTTCACAACTGCCTCTAATTCTAGTTCTAAGGAATATGACACCTTCTTGCCTCTGCTGACACCTACATGCACATGATGCACACAAATCCATGCAAGGACACACAGATACACATAAAAATAAATACATCTTTTTGAAAAAGTCAACTTATTGGCTTATTGGTTTTCCTTTGAACCAAAGTTACTACCTACCTATAATATAAGAATGAGAGATGTACAGTTTGAACCATTATCTTAAAAGTATGAATCATACCAAATAAAATAGTGATTACTTGTAAGTTTTTAATCTACCCAGGAGGAACAAGACTCACTATGCACTGTCCATTTACACATGGGTGACTTGAGCAAATATTACTGAGGTGTACACATCCATTTGGCCCGAAACCATTTCCTGTATATCCTGGAGGACAGGTGCAGAGAGGCAAAAATCCTGTTCAGAAAGAAAAATGGATGTATAAGTGCAGGAGTCCTTAGTTCAGAGGCAGTCATAAAACTCAACTCTGGTGTCTAGATAAGAATCCATCAATATCAAGTGCATCTATTCCCATGGGCAGGCAAGAGAAAGCAAGAGGAGAAATGATTAAAATCTCAGTTTTTCCCATCTTAAAGCACTGTGTGTTTCTAGTTTCTTATATATACGTTTGCAATCATGCTTTCATCTCATATGACAGATGATCTAGAGCTACATACAAATAAGAAGGGAATGTGAAAAGGAAGATGGGATTTCTTCATCACAAAGAGATCCTTGGTAGAAAGTAAGAGTTTTATGACAACAGTGTCTGTTGCAAGCAATATATATCTGTATGTGTCTACACATATAGAAAGATTGCTTTATCCTCTAGACAACCTTATAAACAGATTCTGCTATAAACATTTATATCTTTACAAATAAAAACAAAGTATTCGAAGATTGTCCTGACCAAGGACACACAGTGTGAATGTAAGAGTCAAGAGAAACTTAAGGATGTGGTAGCACAGGATTAGCATTAATGGAAAGCTCTCATGTTCTAGGCATGTGCACACACAGATTGCACCTACATAATATTTCACTGAAAAATGAATTTGAGGCATTCAAAGAAGTTTTGTAGTGAAACTAGACATTAAGATAATATAGTAACACAATCTACAAAATGCAAACACTGATGTTTCTTCAACTGTTTTTCTAAGCTCTTTGCTTCCATGTCACAAAATTCAAGCAATGACAATCTAAATGGTCAGAGGAAGAAGCTGGTCAAAAAAATGTAAAGTAATTGAATCTTTCAGTACCACTAATAATTATGATATGAGTGAGATAAAACCTAAAATAATATTAAAACACCCAGAAGTTTCAATTTCATTCTGTAATGCTTAGAACAAGTACCCCTTTGATATTTTTAAAAAATTCCACCAGATGTCATGTCCAGAGACTTTCGGATTCCTTAATGGCCAAAGGTCACATGTCACGGCAGAAATACATTGTTTCTATCACTATAAAATAGCTGGAATAATACATGAAAATTAGTATGATGATTAATTTAAGCACATTTCTCCACCAGCAAATACTGATGAAAATGGATAGACGATCTTAGTGAAAAATTCAAATGGAATAAATTATGTAATGTGACCAATTTACAACATAGATAGTGATGTTTTTGTGCCCATAGGTTACAGTACTTACAAGTTTTGAACTTAAAAAATAAGACATACAGGTATCTCCCCTACATAAAGAATTGCATAAAGATGTGTTCTTTTATGTATTTATTTCTTTTAAAGTATTTACTGAGGGAAATAGTGTAAGGAAACTCAGACACTGCTATACTTTGCCTGGACAACTGTAACCGTTCCTCAGACAAGATCACAGCCTTCAGTGAAGATCAGTAAAGAACATGATATGTTACTTCACATCATCTAAAATATGACCAGCTTCTGTCCTTAAAAATGAATTATTTTCATAAATGTCTGTTTCATTGTGGTCTCCCAAGAACTCTAGGCAATGAGTGCTCTTACTGCCCTTAGTTCACAAAGGCAAAACTGGAAGGGAGAGGCCTGAGGTGCCTTGACCATTGTCAGACAGGAAAAGTATGATGGGACCAAGGGAGAAATCAAATGATTTTCTCTGAGAAATTCTGTTCTTGACTACATGACTACTCTATTAATCATTCAATAAGCATTTGGTCACTCCTACATGTACGATGTATATGACCATGTATGGATAGACCTGTGTACATATGTAGAAATATATTTATATATTATATATATTCTTACTTATATATGCACATTAAAGATGCATTAGTAAAAATGAAAATTTGAAAAATCAGGGAATGTGACATTATTTAATAGATGAATTATGAATATCCATTTGAAAAAAATTCATCTGCGTTTTCATTTGATGCATAAGTGAACAATAAATTCTAAAACTGTTGAAGACCCTAATGTAGCAAAAGAAAACTAGACAATTTGTAAAGGATTCAGTAGGAAAGACATTTCTCAACATGATGCTAACTCAAGAAAAATAAGAAAAACTGATTTATTCCTTGGTTATGAAATTCTTAAGCCTCTAAATAGAAAATACTCATACAAAATCAAGACAACAACATGTTATGAACAAAGTGTTGTAAAACACAACACAGATGGGAAGATCATTTCCTCAGTACACACGAAAATTGCAAAGTAATAAGAAAGCAAATGAGTATGTAAAAAAAATAGAAAAAGTGATCAATAAAAATGGGAACATTTTATTCATTAGTCACACAAAAGCACAGTTTAAAGGAGATAAGAAACAAGCCAGGCGGTGGTGGTGCACACCTTTAATCCCAGCACTCAAGAGGCAGAGGCAGGAGGATCTCTGTGAGTTTTAGTCCAGCCTGGTCTACAGAGTGAGTTCTAAAACAACCAGGGCTACACACAGATAAACTCTGTCTCAAAAAACAAAAAACAAACAAACAACAAAAAAAACCAAGCAATTAACTGTTGGCTTTAAAACATATCAAGACACCAGTGGGGGGTGGTGCATGTCTTTAATCCCAGCACTTGGGAGGCAGAGACTGGCAGATCTCTGTGAGTTGGAGGCCAGCCTGGTCTACAAAATGAGTTCTAGGACAGCCACAGCTACACAGAGAAACCGTGTCTTAAAAAAAATTTTTTAAATGTATAAAGTCAAAAATGATAGCTGTAATTGTCAGACCTGGGGTACACAAACATTTCTCTGACTGTTGACTGGGACATACAATGATACAATTCTCAAAGAGGTGTGTTGCTGCCTAGGTGAGCTGGCCCTCTTTTATGCAGTACCACAGCAACTATACAGCCAGATGCACTTTCCCTTCTGTAGAAGTAAACTCCTTATTTCAGCTGAATCCATGATACTCAAAATAAATGCTATAGATTCTGTGCTGCCAGGTGCAGCCAGATAGTGCAACTCCAGTCATGTCCTTCCCTTTCTCCATCTTGTTTACTAAAATCATTAATTGATTACTCGGATTAATTACCATGGAAACAACTTCTAGTCAAAGTAGATCATTCAAGGGTACCAGATTGTTGTAAGGTTTTGAGATGGTTGGATTTTTTTTGGAAGGTCAAAATAAGAATTTTGACAGTTGTAAATGGTAGTTCATGCCTATAACACCAGCACTTGGGAGACTGAGGCAGGAGGATTGGATTTCAAGGTCAGATGAGCTACAGAGTGAGATATTGCTCTCCCCCAAAGGAATTTTAAGGAGAAAAAAAATTACTTTTAGACTACGGAATTGTTGAGAATTTGACTGAAACATCTAAGGACAAAAAGGGGTGAGTCATTACCTATACCAAGAGCTGAGGAGCAGGATGCATCTGGGTGGCAACCTCCGTTATTGATTGAGCAGACATCCAAGGGCGTGCACTCTCTCCCATCACCGCTGAAACCTGACCAAAGCACACAGAGGGTAAGAAACAATGTCAAGAGCTTCTTGGAGACTAGTTGTATTTAAACTAGAGGACAGCCAGAAAGACCTCTTTCCAGAAGAAAAAGGAAACTAACATGTGTTATGTCTATGAGCCTTGTCTGTGAGCAGCAGTCCACGAGTGCATGTATTAAATAAATACATATGTGTGGTAACAGTGGAGTGATGGATCTAAAGATTCTCACAGAAGCATTTCCCAGCCCTGTGTTTTCTCCCTGTTTGCTCTTGCTGCTGGCATTATTTCCTGTTCCTTTCTTACTTTGCTGTACTAGTGCACGCTGAAACTATACTTTAAGTTAAACGTTCTGGAGCATTCCTTTTCTTGTCTTGGAAATCATTTTAAAGTGAGCACAGATTCTATTGTAAGTGGTTTGGCTGTGGTGGCATCAGGAAGCCTGGTGCAGTCCTGGGGCAGTCCTGGTGCAGTACCTGGTGGGCAGTTCCCACAGGTGAAAGACCCAGGCGAATTGAGACAGGGGACAAGTGGAGCCACAGAGCAGCCGCCATTGTTTATCTCACATTCATTGATATCGTAGCATTCATAACCATTTCCTTGCCAGCCTAGAAAAAAATATGGAGAAGATTTGCAAAATTAGCACTGTTAACAACTTAACAAGGAAGAAATACAGATAGTTAAGACATCCACAAAATAGTTCTGGGTTGGCAACATGGCTCAGTGATTAAAGATGCTTACTACTAAGCCTATCATCTGACTTCAGTCCGTGGCACCCACATGATAGAAGGACAGAACTAACTCCAATTTGTCCTCTGACCTCTATAGGCATGCTATGGCATGCACCCTCAACACAAATTAATTAATTCATTAATCGAATATTTATAGAATAATAAAAACTAACAAGGAAAATTTTTGTTCTACACAAAACTATACATTAAAATGAGAGGTTCCTAACAGGTTGTCCAAAATTGTTCTAAATGTATATAATCTTATGATGGCAAAGTGGTGGGTAAATGGGATTCACTTGTAGACTGTTGACTGGATATTAATAAGACCATGAATTGCTTAAAACGGTGCCTATGTTTCTACACATGAAGACAACAGATGATGAGATTGAAGGTGGAGAGTCACCTTTAGATATTCATGTTGTAGTCAATTATGACATTAGTATTAGTCTCATGATTCATTATCATAGTAATAATCATATTTAGATATCTTCAAATCTTTAGCATATTTATAATGGTGGATCTAAGTGGGGTATCCCTTCATACACTGAGTTAAGGAAATTATCATGTTCGAGCATGGTTAGGTGAGTACGCAAGGAACAGCTGATGGAAATGCACTCTACCCCTAATGATGATCTTCAGGGCATGGTACGCTGCTTTCCCTTTATACAGGTATTCTTGTAGTTCCTTACATTTATAAGCAACATATAGAACTTTTAAGACTTGGGAAAATGAAGTGATTAAAAACAAAAACTTTGCTTTCAATTTCTTTCTTATAAGTTTTTGTTTCTCATTGTTTTCTTCAAATAAGAAAAAGAAGAATCGCTGGGCAGTAGTGGCGCACTCCTGTAATCCCAGCACTCGGGAGGCAGAGGCAGGTGGATCTCTGTGAGTTCGAGGTCAGCCTGGTCTACAGAACTAGTCCAGGACAGGCTCCAAAGCTACAGAGAAACTTTGTCTCAAAAAAAAAAAAAAGAAAGAAAGAAAGAAAGAAAAAAGAAAAAGAAAAAGAAAAAGAAGAATTAGGCATACACTGACCATTCTCTAATTTAAAACATCTACTTTTCTGACTTCTGCTGATGAAAGACTGTCATCATAAATTACCTTCAAGAATTTAGCGATTTGCAAGTTTTGTTCCCGAGAGGCAGGAGGGACGCCCTTCTTTCTCCTTAGCTTTGCTAGTTCTACTCCACACCATGCAGGCGCTCACTGAACTACGCATCTCTAAACAAAAGCATTAGGTGTGCATGTGCCTTGGTATGACACAGGGAGTGCCCTGCAGCTCAGCTGGGCCAGTCAGATTGGGATCTGGCCTACTACAAGTGTACCTGGAGAAGTTATTTAATCTCTCCAAGCCTCAACTCCTCGTATTTAAGGTGCAAACAACTCTCTTACCATGTCTTGGCATTTGTTATAGCTGTAGAATTGTAACACTTAGATAGCACCTTAGTGCATTTGTATAGAAGATTAACTGCTGTTGTGGTCTTCAATCTGTGCTACACTCTTTAAGTATACCCAGGAGTAGAAAGTGGCCCAATAAGCTCCCTGAAGTCCGGTTAACAGCTAACCTACATCCCAGCACAGTGCTTTGCTCATGACACATGCCCTACAAATCTGTGCCAAGTGGTAGTGGTGACCTCATGTCATTGTCATTAAGAGAGGAAGCTTGGGATTCAAACTTAGGCCATCTCTGAGTACAGAGTTCAGATTCTTCAGCAACTCAACATAATGCAATGGCTTCCCTTAAAGATTCAGTCCTCCGAACTGAGGAAGCCAAACACCTCTATTTATAGCAAGGATATAGGATATTCAAGGACACACAAGAGAAAGAACTACTGGCTTGTTGCAGAGACACAAAACAGTCAAGGAATTTACCCAAATTTACAAATAGCTGGCTAGTTGAAAAAGTAGGATTATAGTGTATGGCTTTTAACCACCAATCTAGCCAGCTGACAGCCACAGCGATGCAAGATTAGACCCTTCAATTTCTATGTCTAGTTGTGTCCCAAAGTAGGATGTTAGCACTCTGACATATCTCCCAGCTCCACCAAGAACCTGCTCTAGAAGTGAGATGATCTTGAGTAGGACATGTAGCTAGCTTTAGACACTTCTAAAAAATGATCTTATTATCCATCATTAGTAGAGGGAATTTGATTCTTGTACCCTGTCTGTGTGGTATTCAGAGCCTATCATGTGTCCCCAAGAATGTACCTTTTGGGCAAGCCCCACAGTAGAAAGAGCCCAGTGTGTTGAAACACTGCACATGCTCTGCACAAGGCGAAGGTTGGAGGCTGCATTCATCTTTGTCCTCTGTGCAGGCGATGCCATTTGGTGGTATTGTCCACCCAGCGTCACAGATGCAATTAAATTTTGGCTGGAAGAAAAACAATAAAGTGAGTAATCAACCAGGAAGAGGGGAGAATCTCACCAAACCCCAAACTGTCTATTGTCTCACATTCATTTGTGTCAGGCCAGTTGAGTGGATTCTTTTCCTTCCCATGTGATTTAAGCTTTTAGACTAGACCATGGAGATGGGTACATCTTCATTTCAGAATAAGAGGATCATATAATTTATCCCAAAGATGCCCAGAAAAGAGCAGTAATAGCTGTAATTAAAGTCAATTAACTCAGTTGGCTATATTTTTAAAGGGATAAACACCCAAGTAGGCACAGACTTGGGACAGTCATTTCCTTCTTTGAACATTTCTTCTCTTCCCTCCACCCTTCCCTTCATTCCTTCCCCTATTCTCCTATTGTTGGAAGGAACTGTTTTCTCTCACACAAAATTTTTTAAATGAATTAAGAATAAATAACTAAAATAATCATGACAAGAAAAACTGGCCAGGCTACCCTGAGTGTTAGGCATGTAGGACCCAAAGCACAGAGGGACACCAGAGATGTGGATCCAAAAAGTCTGCACCACTCATGGGGACTCATGGCTAGAACAATCCAGACATAAGATTCTGTTGACAAGACAGCCTGTAACGTTTGCATGTCTTGTCACTGTTAGACTCACAGGTTAGGAGGTCATGCCTCACAGAGAGGTTCATGAAGGAATGATTAGAAGGTTCATATTTTACATAACAGACTTTTCTATTTTCTGAGTCCAGTTTTCTGTGTATGTCATCTCCTTCTGTGTGTGTCCTTCTAAGGGATGGAAGTGACTTCACCTCTGCGGTCACTTCCAGCACAGTGCCAGAGTCAGCAATGGGATGTGGAGAAAGAAACTATGGCTTCCACAAGGAGCATGAGGGGGAAAGGGCACACCTGTCCATGTTGCACTCGCTCTAAATCCTCACAGATGCCATGCTTACAGAGCTGCTCAGAGCCCTGTTCACAGTCATTATACTTGGATGTACACTGGGGTCCATATGTATCAGGTGTGCAGTCACATCTGTTGGTTATACAAGAGAAGAGCACAATGTCAGGGTTTGAGTTTTTAATACCAGAAGCTGTCTATTTTAGCATTAGTAAAAAAATGTCCACATTGCAAACCAATAATGTTAATAATAAACCAACACTGCAGCTTTGTCAGCTGCAGCGTTAGAATAAAATTTCCCAGTTCTTCTCCAAGCAAAGCATTGAGTGAACATGTTATCTTTGCAAATATGCTTTTAGAGAATGACGACTCAACATTTCATTGAACTACAGCAATAAATTCTTTTGATCTCAAGTCATCAAAAGAATCTTGTACTTTCAAAGGTCAGACGTCTGTAAACCATGGGTGACAGAGTTCATTCAAGAAGGGAAAAGGAAAGATCAGCAAGTTCACTCAGCATCCATCCTTTGGCACCTGCCAGCAAGTACAGATGATGATCTATGCTTAGTGCCTTTATAGTACAGAGGAAGAGATATAGTTGATAGTGAGATATTTCCTTCATAGTCATATTTTAATGCATAAAAAACATAATAATCGTAGGATACCTAGATGCCAGGAGATGCTCTGTCACTAGAAAAAGTCAGATGAACAAAAATAAAATAGGGAAAGTTTGCTTAAGTTACTGTGTGGCTCTTTAAGTTGCTGGCTTAGCTGTGTATCTGCAAAGCAGTAGGAATAGGGGTTGGGAGGTATGGCAAGGGATGAAGGACTCATAAAGGCTAAGTCTGACCAAACCCTAGAGAATGAAAAAGTCAAGCTCAGAGATCACTGTTAGATTCCAGCAGAGAATCATCATGAAGGGAATTGAACATCAGTGCTGATGCCAGAGACAAGGATGAGGAGGTATCTGTCTACATGGCATGTCTGTGTCTCATGCCTGTAACCTTGAGCTGGTGTCTGAGGGTTCTGGAAAAGAATGCTTACTACAAAGTGGAAAGGTTGTTTTAGCAACATGCATTAAAGGTACCAGGGCCTCAGCTAATCACAGAAGTCAAGGTGTGGGTAAGAGTGCAAGAAGGGAGTTTGAAAACCATCAGGAGCCAGGCCTAGATACAGAATAAGGCATGCCATGGTCCCTCTGCCCACTACTAACTAACTCATGACCCTTCTAAAGGCATTCCTCTCTAGGAAGTACTCTGAAGTGTGTTTCTCTTACAGCTAAGAACTTAACCACTGGAAAATTAAGATGTCAAAGGAGATTGTGGCCACACACCTGAGGGTCACCCTCTCTCCTTAGTTCCCACTGACTTTTACCTAACTATCATCACTTGGAGATGAGTGGACACTAATTTTATACTCTTTTAAACCAGATACAAGGTAGACTTCTTTCATTTAAATTTAGATAATAGGAGGAGGAGGCAGAAAATAAACCAAGTAAACTATAGGCTTCCTTGCCATGATCTTCAAAGGCAAGCATTTTAATCTTATTTTTACAGATATGCATCGCCTACAGCCAGAGTTAATATTTGAGAGAAGCCAAGTAAAAACCCAGGTCTGCTTTACTCCAGCTCCATTATTTTTCTGTGTTGTATTTCTGTTCTCATGGGTAAAGTAAGTAAGTGTGAAGACTTTACAACTGTGTCCTTTTAATATAATGGCATTTGCATGTAAAGTATGTTTTCAAAGTGATTCAGTATGGCTTTTGAAGGAAAAGAGTAATTCCTCATATAAATAAGTATGACACAATAATAAAATGCACATGTGTATTTTAAAACTACTTAACCAGTGTTCCTGCCTTTGATATTAATTTCTTTCAATTTTATTGAGTGTGTGTGTGTATGTGTGTGTATACGATGTGTGGGTTTGAGTGTGGATATATGCATAACACAGTGTGTGTGTGTGTGTGTGTGTGTGTGTGTGTGTGTGTGTGTGTGTGTGTGTTGAAATAAGGGCTCAATTCTCTCCTGCCATAGGATCCAGGGATCCAATTAGGTCATCAGTTTTGGTTTTTCTTTTCCAGCAAGTGTGTTTAACTGCTGAGCCATCCCACCAGCCCTTAGTTATTAGTTCTTGCAAAAGCCTTTTATGTTGGTTTCATTCTAGTAGAATAAAAGTAGGCTTCTCAGTCTTGAGGAACTATAACTGTACGTGTCAACTAAGAAGACACCAAATATCCTTCCATAGTCTTATATAAATTGTTTTAGAGTCTATGGCTCAATATCAGTATATTGAGTAACTGAAAGAGATAATAAGTTTAATACCTAACTACCATCTGATCCCAAACAAGATTATCTTCACTACTTAAACTTTGCAATGCTTTAAAATCCACCAATGATATGGAGATAAAATAAGATATTTTATTAAGATATATTACCGAATCAGCTTCATGTGCCTGGGAACAAACAGAGCCTGTTTTCTTCCTAGAAAGCATAGTAGGTCTACACTGTAAGTACACATGTTATCTATAGACGTCAATATGTCAGACCCCAAGAGTTGTCTTACATATAATGCAAGTCAGAAAACAATCAGAAACAACTTTTCCAATGAAGATGAAACCATAACACTGAGAAGAGAAAACCCATCTTTCTGTTAGTTCTCATAGTAGCTGTGGGCAAGACTCAAGCCACAGGAATTAGTGGAAGCAGGTAAAGTTTTATCTTATCCTGTTCTCGCTGCTCTAAAGTGCATGGGTTTGATTCCCAGGACCGACAGGGCAGCTCACAACCACCTGTAACTCCAGATCCAAGGAACAAACTCCTCTTTGGCCTCTGTGTGCTGTGGGATGGTCTTTCTGGATGCTGTGAATATGTGTTGTTATGATTGGTTAATAAAGAAGCTGTTCTGGCCTATGGTGGGTCAGGTTATAGCCAGGCAAGAAATCCAAGGAGAGAGATAGGAAAGAGAAAGCTAGCCTGTCACCCAAGGAGCAACATGCCAGTAAGCCACGGAACATGTGACAAAACATAGATTGATAGAAATGGGTTAATTTAAGCTGATAGAGCTAGCAAGCAAGGAACTTAAGCCATTGGCCATATACTTTGTAATTAATAGAAGCTTCTGAGTGATTATTTTATAAGCAATTGTGGGACCACGAGGCCAGGAGGGACCAGAGAACTTTCTGGCTGCATCTGTGGGCACCAGGTATGCATGTGGTACACAGACATACATGCAGGCAATTCACTGAGGCACATAAAATGAAATAATAATAGAAATTACAAAAAAAAAAACCCCTCTAAGGTGGATGGCACCTGAGAAGCTACATCTGACTTCCACATACATGGGTGTCCATGTGTGCATATTCACACAGGATAAAACATACACACATGTTATGGGACACACCTGAATTCATGTATTTAAGACACAAATATTCAACTCGCATTCTCAAGGCCTCATAAACTATTCTCATACCAAGAAGAGGGCATAGCAAATGTTCTGCTCTCTAATATTCCCCAGCAGAGCTATGAGGGATGGTGACTAGAGACAATAAACAGCCCAGAGTCACAAGAAGTCCTTGTGCTTTTCTTTACATGGGGACCAAGAACACATCTAATACTGTCTTGCGAAGGGACACTACCAACTCGAAACCGCTCTTAACCAATAAACTCACTTGCTCCCTTTCTCCTTCCTCATTGCTCGCTCTCTCAGTCTCACTCTCTTCCTCTCACCTTCCCCTGTGTGTGTCTCACCCTTGACGTGCAACAGAGTTGTGAATTGTGTATGCTACAGGCTCCTACTTTCCACTTTTACAGGGGTAGGTGTAAGGCATAGTGCTCTGAAAAGCAATAGCAACGGCGTGTGTGGATGGCTCCCACTCCACCTACACAGCCATCACTCTAGTGGTACAGAATACACCAAAAGACAGTGATGATAAAGGAAGATTGGAATTATATCTAATCTCCAGGACATTACTGGATATTGGGGAGGCAAGCAATTATATGTGCTAGGAGTCAAGTTGGGATAGCTCTCACTGATAACTCCAAATGGAAATTCTGCTTGATAAGCACCCATAAACAGAAACCATGAAATGATGCTTTCAAGGGAATCACCTGGAGCCAGAATGTGACTAACAGCAATGGCACCGGCATCATTTCAATTAGATCCAAAGTCCAAAAGCGAAGTCCTCAGAGGAGTTCACTGGTTGTCCCTTCAAAGCTGTGGCTCTTGTTAATGCCTCAGCTCATGGTGCCCTATGGTCAGGCCTCTCAGATCACATAGTATTAGACTTAAGGCAGAGATCTTTGGGGCTTTTGCCCAATAACGGAATTTATCTACATGTCTAGCAGAAGTCTGCAAGAGTAGTTTATTAACCTAGAGTGAACCAAATTTTAAACCTCAGGCTAAAGGAACAAAAGGACTGTGGTGACTTTTTGAGAACATGTGTTACGAGACGACAGGGACTAAAATAAAATTACTCCACTCAGTTCTGCAGGATATTGTTACAAGATACCAGAGGCACAAGGAAGGGAGCAAAGAATTGCTAGATTATCCTGCAGCACAATGAGCAGTTCACGCCCTAGCAAAACCAGCTTCTTAATCCTTAGGGAGCCTCAGAACATAGGCAGCAGCCAAAAATATAGCAAAAGATAATGTCAAATTCTTCTCAAACGTGACGTTATGAAACTACACACTAGTGAATCTGACCGTGACGGGGCCTAAACTTCGTGACTTGATTATCAGAAGATGCTTCTCAGGCCTCTGGCGTTGGTGGCCAGTACCGCTCAAGTATCATGGGAACACAGAGGCTTTGGAAGTCTAGCTCGGTTTAAGAGATGATTTCCTGAGAAAGACTATGGGTGGTGTGATCAGGAGAAGCCTGCCGTGAGTGGATCCTTTGATAAAAATGAATCTGCAAGGAAGACGAGTTGCCCAGGGACTGGGACCTTGTGGCTAATTGAGAAGGCAGTGAGTTAATTGATTCTCTGAACATCACTTCGACCTTTGATTCATTTTGGCCAACATTCGTACAGAATCTGAATGAACTATCCTGACTGCACCTGTAAGCTTGCTAGTACCTGGAATCAACGCAACACTGGGGGCACTGGAATGGTGGGCTGCCCCCTCCGCCCCCCACATAATCACACATCATTGATGCGATTTAAGGCTCTGCTTCTGTTTCAGGCATCAGCTCAGCTTGCACCATGCTCTGGTGACTGCTCTGTGCAGTCATGGTGGCCTTCTTCCTCAGAGATGCTGCCAAAATGATTTCTTCATGGGATGAAAGGTTTTTTATTCATCGGAGCAAAAATATCTATGAATACGTTCAATAGCAGTCAAGTGATCCTATGGGGCCCCTAGTTTTTCTGATATCATAGACATTAATTTCTATACTTTTAATTATTTCATGTTCTTGTCCTTCAGAAACGCATGTGACATTTTTAAAAGAAGTTACCTGAAGCTCCCCATTGTATTCACACAGGTGGATCCACTCTGGCAGCCAAAGGGTGTTCCTGAGTAGATTGCACACTCATCAACATCCTCTGAGCAGAAAAGACCCTGCGGAGATGTAAGGAACTCAGTAAGGTGCCACAGGACAAGGACTTTTATGAAATAATATTTACATGATATATTTAATGACTTACATGTGGGACTAACTCCTTGATAAAGCAAAATACTATATTACTAATATTAATCTTGGGGTAAGAGTCCTCTAGAACTCAGATTGGACCCAGTGGAACCAAGGAGCTCCTCACAAGAGCACAGTGGCCACAAAAGGAGAATCCTTTCATAGACAGTCCTTATTTCAAAAAGATGCTGTACCCAGGGATAGTGACTCAGTGGTTGTTTGTTTGTTTGTTTGTTTTTCGAGGCTGGCTTTCTCTGTGTGGTTTTGGTGCCGGTCCTGGATCTCACTCTGTAGACCAGGCTGGCCTCTAACTCACAGAGATCCGCCTGGTTCTGCCTCCTGAGTGCTGGGATTAAAGGCATGTGCCACCACCGCCCAGCCTGACTTAGTAATCTTTCTGTTGATTTTTGTTGATATCTGCTACCTGTATTTTTTCTACTGCTAAAAGAGGCCAAGAGTACTACATATGCATTCCGACTCAGTCCATGCTTTCCAGTGCTAAACTACTTAAGTCAACGCTAACAGAACTACCATTTCCTTATCCACTTGAGAGAGCTGCTCAAGATGGCCAAGGACTCAGTGAGTTAAATAACCAACTTTACCACCACTTGGCACAATTCATTCTGACTCCTGAGGCCACAGAACCCTAGAAACTTTGGTGGATAATTAGATATGTCTGAATGAGCCCAAAGAAACCGGTGCTGACTCACCTGCCAGCAGTTCTTTGATTTTTAAGTCAAAGATAACGTGACTCACCTTCCACTGCGAAGGGCAGACACAAAAAAAGGAGTTGTGCAGATTGACGCAGGTGCCACCATTGAGGCAGGGATTGCTACTGCAAACCTTCCTCTCCACATTCTGGAAAACAACAGGGCAGTCAAAATCAGGCAGAGAACAGTACCGGTCCTCGGCACCCAGTGCAGGGCAGGCTTCAGTCCGGGTGAGGGCTTCCTCCAGACTTCCTCCAGTGACTCACATTATCCTTCAAGTCATTTCTCTTGTGAAAACATCAACCGTGCTCACTTTGCTTAATGCTTTACATACTTTAAACATGGATAGGGGAGATGATCCTATCAGATCATTCATCTGAGAAATATGTGCTACTAGATAGGAATAAAAGGTTCAAGTGTGGATGTGAGAATGGGTGTTCCTGTTGCACTAAGAAAATGAAATGGAAATTTCCATTCTTTTGCCTAGTGGTCTTATCTCAGGTACCTCTAGATAAGCCTTTGAAAACTGATCATCTTTGATTACCACCCCTCCTGCATTGTCTCAGATGACTGAACTCTTTTCTCTCCAAGCCCCTTTGTTTGAAATGTGGCCAGCTAAGATACACCTCCCGCCCTCTGCTCACCTGACCGCTCTGAGCAAACAGGACTACCTTTGTCCACACAAACTGGGGACCTCACCCTTCGTCAGCTACCAGTTTCAATTCTGTACACTTTGTAAAGACTTGGGGGTGCAGAGGCAACGGCTTCATAGAGGGCAAGTCATGATACAATCAGGGTATTTTACTGTATTGGTTTTGGTAAAATTCTGTTTAAAACAGGGACGAAGTGTTCATTATGTGGATGCACGTGTACAACCAAAGGCTCAGAGGAACTCAACTTGGTTCTGGGGACAAAATTCAGAGCTAGAAGACCCCCAACTGGCCCGGCGCTGCTTGCTGCAGAGCCCATTCTTCCTCCGCCCTTGTCCTGAATCACAGGACTGCACATGTGTGTGTCTCGTTATGAACTCGGCTTTCTTCCCCCATTCGATTTGTCTCTGTTCCAGAACCACAATGAGCTGTGCCCATTAAGGGATCAAAGGACGTTATTAAGAACATTTGCCACAAACTTATGAGTTTTCTGGTGAACAAAAGCAATGCTGTCCAGGGATTAAAATGTCAGAGATTGTGGGGGTCCAGCGGGACGGGGAATCAGTGAGCAGTCAGGAGGAGACAATGTGGAGCAGCTGTGCGACCGTGGAGCCCTTATCCTATCCAAAAGCAGACAGAAATTGACATTGGAAATCACTAAAAACTCTTCTTGAGTGGTGGGGCAGAGGCCGGCAGAAGTTCATTTTGATCACAATCTTTGTTGGTTCTTGACCAGTAGTGAAACTGGGAAGCACTGTAGGAGTTAGAAAATGCCCATGCGGCCGGCCGGCCGGGTGGCAGTGACGGGCAGTGGCGCACGCCTTTAATCCCAGCACTTGGAAGGCAGAGGCAGGCTTTCTGTGAGTTCGAGGCCAGCCTGGGCTACAGAGTGAGTTCCAGGAAAGGCGCAAAGCTGCACAGGGAAACCCTGTCTCAGAAAAAAAAAAAAAGAAAAGAAAAGAAAAAAAAATGCCCATGCTGCTTTGCTCCACAACACGCACTGTTCCTTGTTCATTCTCATGTGCACAGCTATTTCCTGAAGAGATAAAGGCTTGAGGTAGAATCCATTGTCAGTGGTTAAAAAAAAAAAAGGGGGGGGGGGAGCATGAACTTGTTCATCAAACTTTACTCCCAAAGTAGAAGACAATGCCTGAATTGCCACGGAAATAAATTGGGGCTGGAGAGATGGCTCAGTGGTTAAGAGTATTGACTGCTCTTCCAGAGGTCCTGAGTTCAATTCCCAGCAACCACATGATGGCTCACAACCATTTGTAATGAGATCTGGTGCCCTCTTCCGGCCTGCAGTCATACATGCTGTATACATAATAAATAAATAAAATCTTTAAAAAAATAAAATAAATAAATCAATTGTGACTATTAGAGCGGATGCTATCAACTGGAAATTGCAGAAATGTCATATGGAATTGTAAGTACTGACAGATTCTATGCATCTTTTGGGCAGAAGGCTGTGGTCTCAACAGGAGCCTTAGTCATTTACCCACAAGGAAGGCAGAAGGCATAAACTTGCACAGCTGGACCTACACATGGCGAGGTTATAGGGTGTTTGCTCTGGGAAGTGCTTCAACTTAAATTACCAGCCAGTGCAGTTTAAGGAGACCGGGGACATTGTGCACACCCCTGGAATCCTGAGCTCAATTTGAAGAGGCTTCGTGGCTTTTTGAAACCCAGTTATTGATGACAGTTGCGAGATTGCTAGCTGACTAAGAGTATACAAGTAAGTCCACAGCAGCATGGCGGAAGGAGGCAGTTAGGGGAGGGGCCTGTGGGCTGTGAATTCAGAGGTCAAAGACCTCACATTCTTAGTGGCCTTACAGTGGCATAGTGCCCAGGGTCCTTATAAGCAGCTTAGGGGACGTAAGTTGAAACAAGAATCAAACATTGGAAAATCAAGTTTTTGATATTGATCATGTACCCCTTAAAATAAGACAACTTTTTTTTATTAATTACTTTTTTTTTTTTTAGGCAAAGTCACACTATGTATCCCAAGCTGGCTTGTAACTCACTGTGTACCCTAAACTGGGCTCAGACTCTCAATCCTCCTGGCTCTGTCTCCTAAGTACTAGGGTTACAAAGGAGCAATAGCCACATCTACCTTAGAAATGATGTTTATATATTTTCAGGGACTATCCAGTCACAGGACTTACCTGCTGCAAACTCTGAAAATTCCTCTCAAGATCCACAAGCTGTAGTAGTGGAGAAGAAAATGCATCAATTAGCTGGTGTAGATGTTTCACATGGGATGTTGATCTTTATTCTTTAGGGACGTGCTTTGTTCTGGTTTTCATTCATTGATTTTTTTCCCTCCTCATCCCTCTCCCTCCCGGGGTTCCTTCCCATTCTATTCCAAGGTCTTTTGAAAAGGAGTACAACCCACTGATAAGCTGACTCTCTGCTTCTTTAACATGGCGATTGTGGCACAAATGACAGTGATAACCCCCTCCACCAGCGAGGAAGATGCTATCAGAACGTGAGCAACAAGTCCCTGTCAGAGCATTTACTGCCTTCCGCCCGCCACCACTCCTGACCCTCTGTTACAGTTAGACCACTTAACCCCAAAGTTCACAATGATAATGGTAAACATCTAAAGATGGAACCGAGTTGATACCACATCACCTGAAAAGTGCATTACTTACAAAGTTGGATTAACAATAACTCATTTGCTCTTACAATGTGTGCAATGTGTATGTCAGCCTTACCTTGGAGTCAAGTTGCTGGATTTGACTAAGTATATTCTGAGGAAGACCAGTTGTGTTCCTCTTTAAATCTATAATGTCATCTTTGTTTCTCTGGATCTAATTTTAAAAAGAAATGAAGAAAAAGGAGAAGAATAATGGTAGGGTAAAAAACATTTCCATCTTACAAGAGCAAGCATTAACGCCTTACCTATTATAAAGGCCAGGGCAACGCCACATATAATAATAATTAGACCAAAATAAATATGGCACAACCTCATTGATTCTCTTCTATAGCAACATAAAATTTTTTTTATATATATCCCCACTATATACTAACATTTCAGGGTATTTATTAAGAAGCATGGTGGGCTGGGGATAGAGCTCAATGATAGGGAACTTGCCTAATGTGTAAAAATCCTGGGTTCAGTTCCCCAGGACCACAACAATGTATGGTTTTGAATGAGACTTTTTGAATTTTAAATCTTGCCCCAATCATTTATTGTGCATTTTTGGATATTAAAAACTGATGGATTGCACTTGTAGCTCATAAGTAGAGTAATAATAAACACCTTCATGGGGAAATCCTGAGAGTCAAAGGACATAATATACAACCCGTGTGTGACCCAGACACAGCTCTAAATGCCGGCTCTAACATTACAGCTTACACACAGCTTGCTGTCATCAAAGCTGCGTATGGAAAACATTCAATACAGCATGAGAGTGAGTGGCCACTCTGCGGTGGCAAAGATGCTGTAAAGCACACCTGTGCCTGCCTCTGGTCCCCCTCCTTACTTCCCTCCCCGTTGGAGGAGTTCTGGGTTTTCTTTCTGGATCTGTTCTGGACTGTGGAATCTGTAACTGCACAGTGAGCCTCCTCTTTTGGAAGTGATTCCTCTCTCCCCACCATGAAGCCTTCCTATGGCTTCTTTTTAAGAACTTATCTTCCAGTTGTGTTCTCTACGCTCAGGATTCAAGGTGCCGACCAATACTGAGCTGGACAACTAAGTTACATCAGATGGATATACAAAGCAACATCTGCATTTTTCCAGTGCGTTACCTGATGTAAACATTCACCAAGATCTTCATCGTTTAATTTGACTTTTCCAAGGGATCCAGTTCTAAATTCAATGTTTTGGGCAGAGCTTGTAAGAAACACCAAGTTTCCCCCCTCTGTAGTCATCCGAGGCCTATACAATTCAATCAGAGAATTTATCAGTCATTAGCAAATCTAATTTGAAAGCAGTTTCTTGCTGAATAACAATAGACTTTCTATATCTTCACCTTGCATTCAACCCAGCCAAATCTTCTCTGCTCGTCTACCATTTGTTCTCTGAGAATTTCCTAATGGTATTTCCCTGGAACTGCAGATGTGACTCATTCACAAGTGGGCAAAGAATAATTGTGAATAAGAAACCAATTCCTTACACCAGCACCAATCTTCTCCCTGTTGGCCTTCTACCGTCACTGCTCTCCTCCAGAAATGCTGCACTTCTACATACCTGGTTCCTTGTGACAGATAGCGATGACATTAGTCGAAATGAGCCATGTGTCTACTTACTGGTGGAGATCAGCAATCCTTTTCTGTCGCTTCTCCTCAAGCTCTCCAGTTTCGCCATCCAATTTGGCTATCATCAATAAAGTAACAAAACCCCAGAGAAAATGTGAGGACATGTTCCTCAGCAGCCTCCCAGCTCGCCAGGCCAGAGGGAGACCACTCCAGGCAACTGAGTCTGGCAATTTGAGAGCAGCGAACCAGGCGGCTGTACTTTGATCAGCAGAATATTCTTTAACTTTCCAGGCTTTCCAAGAAGGCTTTAGTTATTTTGTCCTTCCTGAGGAATGTCAATGATCTCAGATCTCCAGTACTGTTCAACTTACAAGGGGTCAAAATCTACCTTAAGTGATGTACAACTTAATCATTATTTGTTTAACCTTTGAAACAGTAACCAGCAGCTTTGGAAACATCCACTGTAGGAAGGAGTCCTTGCTAAGGAGGTACTCGGCTGGAGGCGAACGGTGCTGGAGAAATTGAAATTCTTCTGCAAGAGAAGTTGATTCCTTATCACATACCGTGCGTAAACGTTACTGCTAAATGCTCTTCATTTAAGACCCAAATTTAAGACCTAAAACTATTAGCAGAAAACAGGGGGAAAATATGCCTCTGAATTTGGAATCATTTCTTGGTCCTGAATGACAAAAATATGAGCAGTAAAAAGCAAAAGAAACCAAAAGAGAAAGATTCTATGTCAAAATTCAAAGCTGTCGCACATCAGAAAGGACACTTTTGAGGGGAATTACAAGGTAGCTTCAGGGGGAGCCACCTTTCATAGTGGGGAGCTGCTGTGGAGGTGCTTCTGCTCCAGGACATGACCCCCACCCAAGTTCATGTAGGTAGCTAAACTCTGTAGGTCACATCCACAGAAAGGCATGGAAATAGGAGCTTGTTGGAAAGAAGGGGCTCCTCCTCAGTGGGAGGAGGAGGAGAGGAAAGGATAATTGGCACGAATATGATTAAAATAATTGATGTAGATATATGAAATTGTCAAAGAAGAAATAAAAATACTTTTAAAGTCACTCAAAGAATTGGAGGAAATATTTGGAAGCCATATACACCAAAAGAGATCAATATCCAGAATTTCTTTTAAATTCCCACAATTCAACAACAAAACAACACAATTTGAAAATGAGTAAAGGCACTGAATGGGTATCACCCCCCCACCCAGAAAAAGATCAACCATATCATGAAGATATGGATAACATCTATACTCACTGGGGGAATCCAAAACAAAACCATAATGAGATATAGCTCCATACCCAGTAAGCTCGATACTATTGAAAAACAGAAAACAAGTGCTGACAGAAACCAATAGTTTAGTGCGTTGGTAGAGAAATGATGCTGTTGTTATAGAAACCAGCCAGGAGTTCCTCAAACATTCAATGAGGACTTAACATATGATCCCATAATTTCACTTCCAGGTGTGTATGTATAATCAGTGAAAACAGGAACTCAAAAAGATACCTGCACTGCAGTGTTCACAGAAGGATTACTTGCAATAGACAAAGGCAAAATCAACCCAAGTGTCCGTTCACAGATGACTCGATTAAAAAGGGTACGCACAGACTATGGGGTTTTGGTTTATTTTATTGTGACAATGTAGGCTAGGCTAGCCTCAAACTTGTGATCCCTCTGCCTCCACTTCTCCAGGGCTGGAATTACAGGTGTGCACCACCATACCCAATTGACAATTGAATGTTTCTCAGCCACAAAAAATACAATTTGACACACACTACAATGTCGACAAACCCTGAAGATATTAAATTAACAGTTCCAAAAAGAAAAACACCCTCTAAGATTCTGCTTACATGAGGTGCCTGGATTAGTCAAATTCATAGATACAGAAAACAGAATGGTGATTCCCACATGCAGGAGAATGAAAGCTCACTGTTTAATGCATGTGGAGATCCACATTGGAAAATGAATGGCTCTGATGAGGGATAGCAGTGATGGCTGAAGTATGAGCATATGGACTTTTACCGCCACTCAAAAGCGAGACTAAAGTATGGTTATATATATTTTCCAATGACTTTTACATTGAAACTGTAGTTAGTCCTAAGTTTCTTCCATCTGTAGATGCTGCACATGGTCAAGCAAAGCTTCCAGAGCCCAGGAGACACTCCTAGAGGCATAACTCCAGGGCCTACAGGTCCATCAGGGAGCTACCAGCATCGACACCCCAACTTTTCTATCTCAGCAAGCAGCTCAAAGACCATCCCAGAGCTCTGGCTTGACATGGGCTTTGACCAAGCCAACCTAAGCTCAAGGGAGCTGCGACTACCTTGACTGTAAGAATAGCTCATCTTCTAGAGGTTTCTGGAGAAGAGTCATCTCTGCCCCAGCATGTTGATCTTTACATCCATTCTTCTGGTTCTTCTTTCTCCTCCACTTGGGAAATCACAAAATGATTTTCCTTCAAGCTGATATTGAGATCAAATGGTGACAGGTTTTGTTGTTTAAGAGGTAGATGTGATGTAATGGGCTGGAGAAATGGCTCAGTGGTTAAGAGCATGTACTGCTCTGCCAAAGAATCAGAGTTCCACCCCAGAACCCATGTCCAGTGGCTTACAGCTGTCTGTCTGTGACTCCAGCTCCAAGGAGTTCTTACTCCTTTGGCTTATGTGAACACCTGTGCATGTGCACACACCTGCATGCATAATTTTAAATACAAAAATCTCTTAAAATGGAGAAATAAACACATAGTATTTGAGGTTGAACATAATAGTTTTAAATTTTCATTAATCCAAATTTGCAATTTACCATTTTGGTAGACCCCCAAATCACACAGAACTAAAAGTTTTCTAAAACTACTAGAACCTAAGACATCTTTTAAGAAGTGGACTAGTTCAAGATTAGGCTTTTGGTTCAAACCCCAATGTTCTTGGGGAGTGACTAGAATATGAAAGAGAAGAAAGAATGCTGAAAAAGTAAAAGAGTTTTGTTTTTTTTTTCAAAAGTGAAAAATAAAATGATTAGAGATGGAGCCAGAGAAGTGGACATGTCTTAAGCTGTTGCTATGGTGAGGGGCTCTATCCTTGTCATGGCCTTGTCGTTGATACAGTTCTGGGCTCGCTATGTGCTGTAATTTATGTGGGTTCTATCATTTCATCTTTATGACAGATGAGGAAATTTGTCTTAGAAGTTAATTTCTAATTATTTCTTCAGACATTTACTATTACCTCCTAATTTACTCTTAGTTAATTGGATTTTATTTCACTGAGTTGATACTTCTAGAACACCTAATTTGTGTGAGACTGTATTATACATTGAGAAATGTCAGTTAACAAAAGCTAAAGAACTTTAACTCTGGGGCAAGAAGACAGAAAAGAAGACAAAGATATAAATGTACAGGCTATTCTCAAATAAAATAAGAGGGATAAGAGGGTGGTATGGCATAAAGAGACATGCTTACCCTGGCGGGCAGGATAGCATCTCTGAGGAGATGACACTTAGGGAATCACCTGAAAACAACTGTTGACACCCACTCACTATCTGTGAATCCTCATCTCTGGGTCCCAGGCCTACTTACTTTTCCTCTTCCACTAAGCCATATAGACTGGATCTACCACTACTGAATCTACTCCTCAGCTTCCTCACTGGACTGGACTCTCTTTCAGCTGAATGACATAGTTTGAGAGCATGGACCATGCATGTCCCTCTCCGATTCTATGCAAAAGCTAGACCTACTGGGGAATAGTGAAGGGTGTAGCATAGTGTATTTGGAGGGGTACTGATTAGTTACTGATGCACTCTAACCTTCCATGAACACACAGACAAACTTATACTAAGGAAAACAAAACCAAATGTAAGATTGAAGGAACAACCACATGAAAACTCAACTCTAAAAATATCCCTTGGTAATTACCATTGTATTGATTAATATGCACATAATTAAATGGATGCTCTGTGGTCAAGGATGATTACATGATATAGTATACAGCATACCTTATGGTATTCAAATGTTTACTACTTTTTGTTTTTAAAGCCTTCCAAATTTCTCCTGTGTATTTGGGTGTTGCTGTTTTGCTTTGTTTTTTGAGACATGGCCTAACCATGTGGCCTGCTGGCCTCACATCTGAGATATTCCTATTCAAGTATAGCAAATGTTGACATTACAGCTGTATGGCCATGGGCAGAACTGTATAACCGTTAGTTTATAATTCTTTCACTAAACTGTGTGCTTTTGGAATTTACACCTTTGGTTGGTTTTGCCATGGATTGTATTCTCTTTATTATAGAAGAGGATTTCATTGTATTTCATGCCCCTGCTTGCCTGTCCAGTCATCAGCTGAATTGGTTCCAGTTCAGCATTATCATAAATAAAACAATTATAAATATTTTGGAAGGTCTGTGTGTCAATGTGCATGTTTTAGTGTTTTCTGGTAAATATTAAAGTCAACTGCTTAGACATGGTTCAATAGTTACAGTTTTATTAGAATTTGTGAAGCTCTTTTTCTTGGAACATCCTAATTATGTACAAGTGCTCCAGTTGTCCACATTGTGCCCATCACTTGGCATTGTTGGTGTTTAACTTCTAACCATCTTAGTTGGTATGCAGTGGTATCTCATTATGATTCAAGTCAGAGTTTCCTAATGACTGGAGAGACTATGAGTCTTTGTACTATTTTTGTCATTTGTACATCTTATTTTGTGATTTGTCTGTTCAAATCTTTTGTTTATCTTTAATTATAATATAATTACATCATTTTCCCTTCTGTTTTCCCACCTCCAAACTCTGCCATGTTCTTCCTGTAATGCTTCTTGTATGTGTATGTTTTCAGGGCTGACCATCTGCTATTAGATAACCAATTTTACTGAAGATTTAACATACCTAAATTTAAGTCTTTCCAAATATATATCTTGCAAGTATTTTTCTCACAACCTGTGTAAAATTATTCATTTGTTTATGAGTATTTTTCAAATAATAAGCAATAAATGAAAATTTAAAAAGACTATATAGTAATTCCAGATGGTATTATTCAATATGAAAATTCAGAAAAGCCAAAGTTATATTAATAGAAACTAATCAGAAGTTGTCCAAGGTTGGGTGGGAGGCGTTGTCAGTAAGAAAACATGAGCTAATATTTATGATAAATAATAAATACTTGATACCTTA